ACCACCTAAACTTGGTCGGGTTACCACGGTCATTTACTTCCTAATGACTTTAATCGTATTATCTCATTAATTACACTACTCAACACTTAAAAAATATTCAGATATTTTTTAATTGGGTCAGCCCAATTCATATTATTTCATAATAAGCTTGACCAATATAAAAATACTGTATGCATTTTATTTCGATATCACATCCGGTTATAGGGATAAATATTTTTTTTATGTTTTTACCTACCTACAAAAGTTAAAATGCGGGGTAGTCCGGAAACTTATTACTTTTGCAAATGGAACATAGTGCATTTGTTAGTATATTAACTGACTTCTAAAATGTCGGGAGTGTGTGTTTACAGTCCTGATTTATTTTGCTATATTTGTGGCGAGTTTACGCCGAAATCGAAAAAAATCCCCACTTTCTGATTTAATTGTGCTATCAAGCTTATTTTAACCGTGTCGTAAGGAATCAAGACAAGTCATGGGTTCGTCTCAATGGTTGGTGTAAGGGAACAACTAAAAAAAGTTTTTCCCAAGCTTAGTGACGCGAAAATTAAAGAGGGTGTTTTCGTAGGTCCAGACATAAAAAAGCTGATTCAAGATCCATCTTTTATATCTGCTCTCAATAATATTAAAAAACAAGCATAGAACGCTTTTGTCGATGTCACTAACAATTTCCTATTTATATTTTTTATTATATACATTTGGTAACAAGAAATCTGATGATTTTCGCGAAAAAATAAAAGTTTTATTGGACTGCTACTATAAAATGGGATGCAATATGTCACTTAAGTTATACTTTCTTCACTCGCATTTGGACTTTTTCCTTGAAAATATGGGATCAGTCAGTGACGAACATGGCGAACGCTTTCACCAAGATGTTGTTGCATTTGAAAAGCGATTTCAAGGCAGATGGGAGCGGATTACTGTTATAGCCTTATTAGAGAGACCCCTGCTACTGAGTACAAGAGAAAAGCCAGCTACTCCAAAAAACTACGCCATTTCAATTAAAATTACAATAAAATTATGGAAAATTCGCGCATGAAGACCGTGCTCGTGAAGAACTCAATATCATCATAACTTGTTAAATACTTACAGGATACTAATGAAACTTCACATACATTTGAAGGCGGTTACAAGCTTTAAAATAACATTTAAAGTAAGTCTTTAGAGCTCTTATTGAGAGTGCTGGGATCAATTGAAGTGTTTTTCTATTTAATGAAATAACCTATATACTATGTATTGTTTTGGTATTTTATTGCAGAACAAATTTAAACTAATTCCTAAGAAGCCATGTACAAAATATGATAAGAATCCGCTTAACCATTTCAAAGATCTAGAAAAACAAAAAACGTTACCCCAGCAGAATCTCGAATAACTTCGCAACCGATGAAAGAACAAATACAAAACAAGGCACAACATTTACTTCATCTAGACAACTAATTTTATAGCTAGTAATAATTTAAATGTTCCCATTAGACAGAAAAAGGTCTGGCAAGGTTAACGTTACCCCAGCGGGAAATGTTTTTGTGAAATAATTAAAAAACTATAAGCGCAACAAATTTAAAAATGTTCGCAAGAATTACAGATGTAGAAAGAATTAAGAAATCTTCACTCTTAGTCCAATGCATTATTATATTTTGACCAAATTTTTTGTGAAATTAATATTTTAATGTAATTTGTTTATTTAATCTAATCAGGATCACGTGTTATTCCAGATCTTCGATTATCCTAGTTTTTATAGTTTTCCCTTTATGTGGCTATAAAACCCTTACTCAGTACCAACTTTCAGCTCGCTGAGGTAATGGGAAGTATTAATTCTATTTTGATGATCGTGAGTGAGCGAGTTAATGCGAAACTTTGCTTTCGCTTGCGAAATTTTGGATTTTAATTATGTGATTATAGATTACTAGATGACGAAAATTTTTGCGTTCTGGTCTTATCCAGAGATCTCAAATAGGGGCCTGAAAATGCGGCGAAATGGTTCCAGTAAAGGATGGTAAGGCAGTGTTTGCTTCGCGCTTGACTTGGCGGGGGCACTGCCGCGCCCCCAGATTTGTGGGTTTGCAATACAATTATTGGGTTTTTACCCAACTTGGTTAAGCTGACATAAATAAGTTATCATCAATGTGCATAGTTAATCAGTCATCTCTCTACTAAAAAGTGATAGGTTACATCAGTACTGAGTCATGTCACTATTGCAAGTCTGAACAGGTTTCATACATGTTGCTGCATGTATGTTGGTAATATATGTAGGTTTGTGAAAATACCATGTTTGTAGCAATGCTTGAACGCCCGCATTTAAATAACTATGACCTCATACAATTATTTGAGTTTACTAAAGTTACCTGGCAAGACAATAAAATCTTTAACTTTTTAGTAGCATTAAACATGTGGTAAAACTTTTAAATGTATATAGGTATTTCATAATTAGATGAATATTAATAACATAACAAACCTCTTCTTTTCCAGGAAGTATTTCTTGTGAGTTTTCTTCAAGTAATTCATCTATATCTTGTTTTTTTAACTCACTCAAAGCACTCCTGTATTTATGGAACAGTGTGTTTTGCTTTTCAATTTTCTTTGCTTTTGCTTTTTCTTCTTTTAATTCTGCTTCACTCTTTGGTTCCTCTTTTAATTTCTTAACCGGAACTTCATCACTTTTGAATGGTCTGCAAACATTCCATTTACTAATAACTGTTCATTTTAACAAAAATAACTTCTAAATTGTTATGTTAACTGAAAACATACTTTATTTCCTCTTTTACCATGGCCTGGTCCTCCTTTGAAAGGTCTTTGAAACCAGGCAGGCTATCTCCTCCTGCAAAGTAGAGAAGTGCACCCCTCTCTTCTGCGAAACACTTCACATGGTGCCACAATGGCTGTCCACCATACTTGGCACCCACTTCAGTATCATACACTGTCTTAGCAATACGAACTTCACCCTGAAAGGAGTTCAGTAAATAATATTAATAAGAAGAAAACAAGGCAGAGAATTGTTAAATATTTTCTACATAGATTTGTATTGCACACAGCATTATCATCAACAGCAGCCCTTGAGAATGCACTGCTGGACTATGAGACTTATAAAAAAGAGGGTTTACCAAAACTCCAACACATGGTACTTGGCAGATAAGTTGGAGAAGGCAGTTAAAAAAGTAAGTTTATCAGTGTGCTGCTGTTCAATCTCTTGGAAATAAGTATTTCATTATTTGGACCTTAATACAATAAAAGGGGGTACAGGGGCAGTGACATATGTGTTCTTATTAAGCATCACTATAAATATATTTTTTTACAAAAATACATCAATAAACAAGATTTTACTCACCTTACATATTTTAATTTCACAGTGTTTGCAAGTAGCCCTGCTACTTTTCGAATACTCTACTTTGAAATCTTTAAGAGCTAAATTGGTAGAGTCATCTGCTGTTCTCTTTTTGGATTTGCCTTTCCCTTTAGGAGTTTCAGTGGGCATCACTATACCAGTAGAATTTTCTATAACAAAATTTTATTAAAACAAATTGCACTAAGTTATACTTTACACCTAACTAAGGAAATCTATAATCATATTATTGAGAGAAATTAAACCTAATCATACAGTATGTATTGAATCTACTACAAATGATTATAATATAGAGTCAGTTATTGTACATACCCATAATAGATTTAATTCTCTTCTGGTCATTACTTTTGAGTTTATTGAAGTTGCCAATATCAGCCACAGATGTGGGACGCTGTTTCTTGAAGAAACACTCTTCATGATGCCAGTTAGGTTGCTTGCCATCGAAAAATGCTGACTGTGAAAATTATTTAAATTATTATTATTTTTGGTTGCATAAACTTTGTACGGATAAGGATCTTCTTTTAAGTCGAAGATATACCTTTAAGATCTATTTTTGTGGTGGCACGCAAATGTAGCTCTTTAAGGTATAATCTTTGGTTAAAAGTCTTTATATTATGAACTAGACCCCTTATTAAATGATAATTGATAGCTCTAGGATTTACTATCCATTTCTAAGGTATTATAATTTTTAACAATGTAATGTTATGTCATTCTCATAAATATATTTATGTTGTATTATTCTCACATCCCATTAAAACTGTATTTCCATTGTGATGTGATGTTAGTCAGAGATGGCCACATTGAATTAAACAATCTGGCAGTTTTCATTGTTGCTAAGGACCAATACTAAAGTTATTATTTACAGTTCCATTCATCATTTTAATGCAGTTTGTATTTTTGTTTTGGATTTAGAATTTTGTAGGAAAAGATATAAGTACTAAGTTGTAGGAGGAACTGTATGCATTTATTCTGATGGTATAGGACATATACTTATGGTATAGACTCTATGTATAACTCAGTAGGTATAGCTATTACATTTGAAGGCATTGTTTGAACCTCATGCAATTATATGATTTCATAAAGGTTAAGTCATCAGAAGGCTTTTTCCTAATTGTTCTTTTGAAATATATTTCTGTAGAGATTACCTCAATGAGAGTATATAATTATTCTACATTTCCAAAACTTACCTGAACCATAATCGCAATACGCACGGCGCCTTGATCAATCTTTTCTTTACATCCTTTACACGCTGCGCGTCCGGTTTTCGCATATTCTGCTTGGTACGGTAAGTCAGTCATTGTTAGGCAGGCACTGATTTGTAATTTGTTTAAAACAAATATCAATTTTCAAAGTTTTACTCTTTTCCTCCAGGAAAAATTTTAACGGCCGACAAGTACAAACCGGCTCACTACCAAAATGACAAAATTGACATTTGGCAAATCGGTGGTGAGTGACAAGGACTACCAACTACCACAACAGCAAAAGATTGACAACAACAACAAACAAGAACAAAGTGTTTTATTTTTATTTATTGGAGAGCTGCTTTAATAATGTTTGAATTATTGTCTATAAAATATTAATAATTTTATTTTATATAAAGTTTTAATAATTATCGGTAGTAATCATTAAACGATTATTATTTTTCCTAGGAAAAATCTATGCATTTATCATAGATTCCAGAGAGTTTTTGCAACTGTCAGACTGTCACTCTCTGCCAGTGCCAGGCCAATTGTTTAATGTCATATGTCATTAATTTTATTGTGAAAGGTTTTATTTGTATCGTCTTGTGAGTTAATTTTGTGAGAAAAGGAAATATTTATAGTTTACGGTACTCGTAGCAGCTTAATGTTTGCTGATGTTATTGTAATAAATAATACTTAAAATGGGTAGTAGGAAAGAAAACCTCAAGAAAACCCTGGGAATATCGGAATATCCGTGGAGTTCAGGTACTGTACTATAATACTATAATTAAATACCATGCATTAATATACAATTCTAAGACCTCTTGAGACTTTAATTTATGTAATAGTAACTCTAACAAGCATATATTATTTATACACCTTTAATTTCTTGTTATTATAACGCTTCAATCGTATAATAACTGTTTAAAAATAATGACCATGACAATGTTATTGTAAAACTGCGTTCTGGTACCTACACACATCTCAAACAAAACATTGATAAGGGGCGTATGTGGCTGTTTTATTTCTTTTTGTTAATAATGAAATGGTGATTAGAATAAAAAATCAATCACTAATAATACCATGTACCTAATTAATCTTTATTGTTTATAATGTACATGTACCACATTGCTTTTGCGAAAAATACTATACCAACATAACTTTGCTCTGAGGTTTAGCATGATATTTAAGTTTAAATTCAACATTAAAATATTACACAGTAACTTAAATATGGATTGTTTTTCAGATGATGATGATACTCCATCACAACCTCTACAGGTGTTGAGGAGACAAGCAGATGAACCTCGGCCCAGTGTGGCTGACATGCCTGGAACTAGCAGCGGAAATGGTAAATACCACTTATACCTACTTTTTAACTAGTCTCTTTTTCATATTATTATTGATTATAGGACATTGTCATGCTCCTTTCGGATTAACTTCATTTATTTTTCATCTTAATTGTTTTGTTAATAAGTAAACTAGCGACCCGCCCTGGCTTCACATAGGTGCAATATGCATGTACTATATACATATAAACCGTCCTTAACAATCACTCTATCTTTTAAAAATAAACCGCATCAAAATCTGTTGTGTCGTTTCAAAGATCTCAGCATACATAGGGACAGACAGACGCGGATAGCGACTTTGTTTTATACTATGTAGTGAAGATGCAATGAAAATACTGACAAGATGGAGAAGGTGGACCTGCTGACCACTTTACCTTATGTCTTGAGTGAATCTATATTGTATGAAAAATAGATAATTATATAACATTAGTTTGTTTATTCTTAATTTCATCTCAATTATTCACCTTTCGGGTAGGACTTTTTATTAGTTGTACATGCAGTACTTGTTCAACATCAAAATACATTCTATTTACTTGGAAGTTATAAGTGGAACTTGTGTAAACAAGAATTAACATTTATGTAGGTAGGTACTTATAATAACAAGTTCTGACTTGTACATGAAATGTTAACATTCATTTCAGACATAAAAAATTTGTTAATTTTTAGACCATTGTTTAGCGATATAATTAGCCAACCATAATAGTTTGAAAATTGATGAATTGTATTCATCAGTTGTTTCGTTGATCGTCTGTAGATGATGCGTGGTGGACAGACCCGACTGGGAGTCAGCCCCATCAAACATCTGGTGGGTACTTAGTTGTTCATTACTTCGATTACTGTACTATGTATTATATTCATGTACCACTTTGTATGTAGTTTGAGAGACAGGGATAGATTTGTGGCATTTGTGTATATTTTTGTATTGGATTTGATGGTAAGTATCTATATTGTACATAATTATTATTTAAGTCCTCTTTCCTTTTTTACTAGTATCACAACAAGCGTCGCATTCACCCGCAACAGCGCGTAAACAACAAGCTAAACTAGACCATGCTCTGTTCTGGTCCATCATCAATAATACACCAAGGCCTTCCAATGTTGGATCCAGCCGGTAATATTCTATCTACATTCATGTACATAAAATTGTAGTTTTGAATATAAAACTAAGTATCTTATAATGCGATTGTTTAATTTGTTTTTTTTTGTTGATATAGTCCTAGGTTAGCGAGTGACATGCCTGTGACGTACGTGTCACGGCCGTCAGTCCCCTCCCGCTCCGACTTGCGGGAGTCGCGGCGAGCCGAGCGTACGACGTCTGCCTCAGACATACAGCGCATACTGGCTTTCAAGAGACTCACTCGTAGCCTGCAGGACTACACGCACTACAAATCTGGCACAAGTCCAACCTTACGGCGTCAGTATCTATTTTATAATTTTAACATTATTATTTGTTTACGCCATTAAAATTTTCAGGTCTATAATATTAAATTTACTTGACCATACGATGTGGTATTTTTAATAACAATATTTCTCTTCCTTGTAATTTCTCAAATTTCGTTACGAAGCTTTTTATGAGGGTAATTATAGGCAAATATAATAAAGTAATTACATACTATTTGTCAAGAAAAATGCTGTGCATATTTCATAATGGTATTATGTATGTTACAATAGAAATGACCAGCGGGGGTCCGTCGCGCAGCCCGTTGTTCACTCCGTCAATGTCGGCAGAGACGTCCAGGTCCAGAACCCACAAGTGCTGTATTCGCCCGCAAGTTGGACGCATATACAGGACAGGTTTCTTGAATAATTTGAATTTTAAATCATCATCACCTTTCACAGCTTGTGAGCGTTCAATAATGGGCAGTGGAGGTCCTCTACAAAAGATGGGTTTGCCATAATCTCCATTGGATTGATTGGTCAATGTTGGAGATAGCAGTGTGAAATTATGGGGTTTGTCATAGAATGCTGAAGCCAGGACTCTGTCGGTGTACTTCATTACTCGACTTACAACACCAGAAGGAAGATTAAAGATAATGACAAATGTATTCTATTTTAATTTGATAGGGATTTCTAGACTTTTCGTACAGAGACAGCAGCGGCACCTTCTACTTAATTCTTTCAACTGAATGTCCAATCTGCCTGCCAGACGTAGAGATTATAGTCTAGCACTGGACCTGTTAATAACATAACTTCGCGCCTTTTATCCTCGATGGGGTAGGCGGAGGTGCACATTACGGCACTTAATGCCACTGTACAATGTAACACCCACTTTTCACTATCTATGTGATGAGTCTCATGTGGGAGTGTGCCTATTGCCATATACTGGGCAATTCCAACAATTCCAGGCTTCGTGCTATTACTGGGATTTGACCACTCGGCCAATGAGGCAGTCAGATGCCTGATAATGTAATGTAATTTTTATTTTTCTTATGTACAGTAAGCAGTTCTTCTGAAACAGTCGGTGCGGGTGATCCTCAGCCATCTCAGAGCCGTTACCGGTCGCTACCAACTACTCGCTCCAGCGTCCCATCAGATATAGACACCAGTCTGGCCGTGCCTGAGCAAGACCACTTCGTTAATGTTGATCAATCTGATGAAGGTATGTATAAACTTCATCTTTTGTTAATTTTAAACTGTATTTAAGTTACCATTTGTATTTTAGTTTTGTCTGGTTTAGTTAATGGTCTTAATTAATGTTTTTTTATTTATGATGTAGACGTAGAAGCTGTCCAAGAGCCACCTGCAGTTCCTGAACAACCTGATGAGAATAATGCCGATGAAGAAAATGTCCAAGGTAAGAACCTTACAATAAATTATACTTACATTAGAGTAAATAACGTATATTTTGATATTTTTGTTTTAACAAAATTTCATATGCTTATAATATATAACAATACTTGTATTTTATATTTGATATGTGCATGTATTATTTTTATAAATATTCATTTTTCTAGATGTAAGCTTCTATCTCTTTTCATTTGTTTCTTGCAGCTACGATATACAACTTTATTATTGCCAATGGATGATTATATTAACTAAGCTAAGCGCATAAGTATGGAGTATTTTAAATAAAATAATTTTTAAGCCTATTGAACTTTGGTATTTATAAACTAATAAACGTATCCTGTGGAGATATTGTGTAAGTAAGTACTTATAAATTATTATAATATCATATGTATCTCAGCCCCAGCGCACGACACTGGCGGCGCCATATCGTTGGAGGAGGAGATCGTGGAGGTGGACGCCCCGGAGGAGCCTGAGGCGGTGCCACCCACGGACATCGAACCTGACGCCGCCGATACACATGCCAACGATGACAACAACGCTGTAAGTCGCACCAGTACACCATCTTTAGATTTGAAGCCCTAACACTTTGGTATCACGGGCCTGATAAAGCACCAAATTCTCAAATTAATTGAAAATACTGTCTACTCACATAAATTTTTCGAGGACAAGTCTACTAGTTTCACGTCATAAAGTCATCAAGACTTAGTTATTATATAAGTTTTCGAAATATAAAGGAGACAACTTGAATCGCGTGTCGATTTCACATAATTAATGACCTGGCCTGGAGGATTTATCCTTTCTTTTCTGAATTTCAATATAAATAAGTAGTAACATGTGCAGATGTTTGCTTCTCAGGTGGTCACAAACTCTGATGAAAATGCTGAGACTGCACAATCCCAGTCTCCATTCCAAGGAGTCAAGAGGAAGCGGGATGGTAAGTTAGAATTGAAATACACATAAAGAAATTTTTCAGTTGTCAAAATCGACTGATTTTTGTTAAGTTGAAGGGAAATATTTCTATAAACTATTTTTTTTTTTCAGCAAGTGATGATAATGGAGAGCCCTTCTCCGTACAGGAGTTTAATCAAGTGAGTGTTTCTTGTTTATGAGTTTGTGGCGGAAATGTTTGCTATACCATTTTATTTATTTTGAACAACTTGTAAATATGTATAATCAGTTTATGTAATCATATTATAATGATTTGGTATTTGTTGTATCAGACATTGCATGTCTATTTTGATATAATTTTACTTTTATGGTGAAGGTATTTGTTATTGCAAGTGCGACTGCCGGACAAGGGGTCTCGGATTCGATTCCCTGGTCCGGCAAAGTACTAAAGGATCTTTATAAAAATTTCACTAGCATGGAGTCTCGAATTGTGCCCGGTATAGTAAAAGCAGTCTACTGTTGTAGTCAGTAGGCTGCACGACATCGCCGCGACCGCGCATGCTGCTCACGGGGAAGAACTCCTCTTTGGTTCGAAAATAGTAGAGCTTTTCTCGGTATATTAATATGAGTGTAGTAAGTCGTTCCCCCGTGTGGCAGAGCCTGCTGCGCCTGCTGGAGTGCCCGGTGTGCCTGGAGTGGATGGAGCCGCCCATGTCGCAGTGCCGGCGCGGGCACCTGGTCTGCGGGCGCTGCCGCGCGCGCCTGGCGTCGTGCCCGGTGTGCCGCACGGCCTTCTCGTCCGTGCGCAACCGCGCCATGGAGGGCGTGGCCGACATGCTGCGCTACCCGTGCCGCCACGGCTGCGGCCGCGAGGTGCGGCTGCGGCGCCGCGCCCCGCACGAGGCGTCCTGCGGCGCGCGCCGCTACCACTGCCCCGCGCCGCCCTGCGCGCGCCATCCGCCGCTGCCGCACCACGACCTCGCGCACCACTTCCAGGTATACTCCCTGCTCACACGAGATACTTACTAAATTATTACCTAACACTTCTTTAGCTTCCATCGCATTTATGTATCTAGTCATTAATGGCTATACACTGATTTAAAATGATCTCTTTTTACCTGTATAGAAATTAAAGCTTACATAAAATGATCTCAATATTTTTTTTAATGTTAAAAATATATAACGATGTATATTGTAAAACTATTAATAACCTTTAAATCTAAAAATGTTTTCAGTGTAAGCACTTACCCATCCTGAAGATTGGAGCGAAGCACAAGTTCTCAATGAAGGTAAACTCGGAGCAACATGATACATGGTTGATCATGGCACTGGATGAGTACTTCCACCTGCGCGTCGACGTCGACATCCGTACGTGGGGCGTCATCGTGTACGTCTCCTACATCGGGCCCAAGCGCAAGGCTAAACATTACGTTTATGAGGTACATTTATTTACGCTGCCGATTACAGATATAAACTTCGTTAATAAAATTAATTCTCACTTCTGACGAGTTACCTTAGAGATGTACCTTAACTGTCCTTTATTCATTTGTCTATAGGTCTCCGTGGTGGGGCAGCACAACTCTAGAAGCGTGACGTACAAACGAGCCACACACAGTGACCTCGAGAGCTCGTCGCTAAACGTGAGCCGTCAGGACTGCTTCCACTTGACACTCGACCAGGCACTCAACTTCCTTCGGTTCAAGAACAGACATTGCGAGCCTGACAAGTTCTTAGATTTCGATGTCGAAATCAGAACAGCTCCAGATTTCAACTCTCAGGAATTAAGAGAAGACTCTGATTCATAAATCATATGAGTATGTAACAAGGATGAAGGGATATCTAATCGTGCTACGATAGGTGCAAAGATGCGACGCCAGTGAGACAAGCTAACTGTATTGCGCAGTTTATAAAATGCGTACTACTTTACCGCACCACGTAATAACGCTGCGCTAATGTGCTCCTAAACTAGCTACGGTTGTATGAAATTTGTTATATTGTAAGATTATTGTGTTTAATCTGTGATTTATTGTTATGCAATTTAAAATGTGACCTTTAAATATCTCACATTTTAAAATGCAATAACCTTTATTTTATTCAAAGGATATCGATTACTTTTAAATCAGATAGTGTTTATAGTTTGTCGTAATTTAGTAATGTTATATCTTTGACATCTACGTCTCATATCGCATTGGTCTGGTAGTTACGTATTCACAATAGCTATTTACAGAAATAAACAGATTCTCAATATTGTGTGGTAGTACAATCACATTTATGGAATGGTAGTAGTTATATTCTGTAGTTTCAGCTAATCTCAATTTTGAAGTTCTGAAGTTTCAAGGATTAACACGTAAGTTTTGAATGTACGTTATAGTTACAGTAGACTATATTGCATATTTCGAGAATAAATCTACTTTTGTTGTCTATATTGGGATTTACTCGTGTGTCGCACTAAAAATTGGTTAAGCTTTGATCGCTACGGTCAGGTATAAGAGATTACTACGAACTTGTCTACTACGGCATCGTTAGCCCGACCGTGGCGGTCACATAGATAACCTTTTCATACTTCTATAGGTTTTTAAAAATGTAAAAATAAATAGTTACTTCCGTAGAAGTAGAAATGTCTGTTTCTATCCTTCAGCATGGTAAAACGTCCTTACCATAATCTGATAACGCTATTGTTCTTTATAAAGCTTGTCCTGAGTAAATCCCTAAATCAAGGAACAGTGATGGTGTATTATAATACACATAGTATACAATATCTGATAACTGTTAGATCTAATTATTATTATTATTCGTCATAGTTGTAGATTGCTCAGTGTTGATATATAATATTTAATATAATGTTAGTCGTACGTTATAGGTTGCCGGATGTAATTAGCCGGTCAGTTTCGGCTTTATACACCTTGGTCCGGCTAAAACGATAATATTGATCATAATTTCATTTTAAAGTTATCGTTTTCAATCAAAAATCGAGAATAAAAATCATGTGAACATTTTCCATGACTTTCTTGTACATAGTCTTGACTTGTCAGTCTTGTTAAAATGATGTGTCCGCCTTTATTTAGGTATATTATCTGGTAACAACGGTCCTTTACACAACTTGCGATTGTCGGGTAATCATCGGAGAAGTGTACCGCGGTATGACGTCATGTACGGTCACAGTCAAAAGTCCACTTACATTACAACGATCATTATTGCCTGCGATATACGGGCTGCGGCGTCATATACACTATTAGCATATCTTATACAAGGTCATAAGTACAACTTATATCCTATGCAAGTTTTACACGTACTTACAATATGTGATGTACTGGCCTGCAGTTCAACTTCTCTGTTAAATGCCTAATCAATTCAACTTTATTGATTTGATATATAGTCGAAAATCCAGTGTAAATATTAAAAGAATATAGTAAGTTATAAGTGTGGGAGAGCCGTGCTTCGGCACGAATGGGCCGGCTCGACCGGAGTGATACCACGGTCTCACAAAAAACCGACGTGAAGCAACGCTTGCGTTGTGTTTCGTCGTGTGACTGAGGTTACCGGAAGCCCAATTACCCTCCCCTTCCCCAATCTCCACAATTCCTGAATCCCCAACGATCCTCAAACTCCTAATCCCCAAAAGGCCGGTAACACACTTGTAACGTCTCTGGTGTTCCAGGTGTCCATGGGCGACGCCGATTGCTTACCATCAGGTGATCCGTCTGCTCGTTTATCGGCTTATGCCATAAAAAAAAAGTTGTCGGACTGACTAATCTGACCATTGTACATTTACCGAATGCTCGGCAACCAAGCGCGTGAAAAGGCACTAATAATATGTAATTATAATCATTTCGGCTTCCATGTTACGCATTGGTAAATTATTGTTTGGTTTTTATTTATTCAAAGTGCTTTGTCTCGTTAGAGACCACATCGCGTAGGACGGGAATATAAATAATCGTTATAAAGCGTTTTTATGTTGTGTAAATCTATACATTAAATATTCTTTTACGTTATTTATAAATTGTAGCGTAAGTGGAAATATTGTCCGAGAGTATATTACCTTAATTATTATTCTAAAATAAAATAAAGAAAAGATAAAACAAATATTCTTAATACTTTTATTTCATTCTCTATTAAGTAATTCATTTAACGACTATATACAGATGATATCACGTTTTCATGTATTATTTACAATGTCAATATTGTTAATAATACGTAATTTAATTATGTACATAATCATAATATGTAAATTCAATTGCAATTACTGTTTGTTCTAATCATCAAAAGCGATAGAAAAACGTTACAAAGACATTTGAATGTAGGTATCTAATGGTCAAATACTCAGACGCCCCTCAATTTTAAAACATTTAAAAGTATATCTATCACTACATACACTTTATTAAACGACAAAGACAGCATGATATTGAAGTACAAGTAAAATTGAGTAGCATTTCAATATTCGGGCGTAGGTGACATGTCAACTTTGGTGCATTCTAAAATGTATCGAAGGGAAGACTGCGGTACAACAGATGAAATATTTACTTTAAAACTGTACCATGGAGTATAGAAGTATGGAGTACTATCTTTGTGTAAAAAGATATGTCAAAATAGGAGACGCCACAGTAGCACAAGAAAGTAGATTAAAAAATGTATGTTTTAGTGGGCCATAAAGTAAAGTTACAACAGAGTTAACATGCTACAGAAGCGACACCAATTAGGGCCAGCGCTCACTGCCGGCATGGTACCCCAGATTGAACTTCCGCATGCCGCGGCGTGTCATGGCATTCCGTGGTATCCCGTGACATTTTTCTGAAAGTCCATTGATTCCTTAACCAAAGTGATCCATTCGTCGCACGAAATGCAATGGCGTGTCGCAGCATCGTGGTATCGAAATAAAGTATCATTGACCCTAAAGCAATTTAAATAAGATTCAAAATAATTAGTAATAAAATCGTGTGCCATACTGCACCGTGTCGTATCAGTGAGCACCGGCCCTTTAAGTATCTAATGGAATTTGATGCGAAATTTCTCATGAAAGATGGTACTCCTTATGTCTATACCCCACGTTTTGATAGTGTATTGTCTACGCTACTAGTTGCTTGGAGGCGATGGTCTGTCGCGCATACTCCGTGTCCACGAGGCCGCGGCATACTAGCGAGAACTCTTGCACCGACTCCAATATTCTTCGTTTACTGCTCTTTTCCCTGGTGACAAAAATATTGATTTAATAACAAAAGTTTAGTGGAAATTAGGGGTGCAAATCCAGTTTAAGAACCGCATTTAAATTGAGTTGAAACTAACAAACAACGTCATAGTTATAAGTTACTACAGACTTCTCGCACGGTGCGAAAGGTGTAATAATATTATAACAATGGTGTTACGTACATGTTATTCTAGTCAAAAGGTTGTATTGTTGTATGGGTACGTACTTGATGATGGACTGTATAAACTTGTGCTTGTGTGGGTCGGTGGCGTGCTGCGTGGGGAAGTCCGGCACAGCCAATGCGCTCCGCAGCCACGTGGCTAGCCCCGCCCCCTGCCCCGCCTCCGCCCCCTGCCCCGGCTCCCGCCACGCCGCGCGGTTCAAAGACAACAACAAATCTGCTAACGGCTCGATTTGATTACGAGGCGTCATTCCGCCTGGTACAGATACACAACCTGATTTTATTAATTAAATAGAATCTAGTACATATTGACACAATTGTATTATATGCAGCAATTCGTAAAGTAACAGTGTCAAGGAAAGGGATTGATGGTATGGATTCTACGGGAGATGGATCTTATTGAAAGGAATGACACTGTCAAAACGAAACATTAATTTAGTTGGACACTTATATATTTGTTTTAACTGAAAATAACAACTTTTTTCATGAGCGTGCGTGCCGTGGCGACATCGCGCACCGCACTGCCAATTGTAGTGATGTAAGAGTTCCGGTACGATTTAAAACTAGAGCTTTTCTCAATTAGTTGACATGATCGAGTAAGCAAGCAGTTATTTTCAATTTTTTTTTTAAATATGGTGTTGCCCACACTAGGATTTTCTCCTGTGTCATGGGTTGCGCGTTTACAAACATAAAAGTTCACATACACATGACACCCAGGTCCGGAACAACAATCTGTGGATCACACAAAGAATTGTTCCCTGCAGGAATCGAACCCGCGACAAGTTGTGCGGCAGTCAGTTGCCTAGTCAGCGCGCCAACCGTGCAATCATTTTCAATGAATGTAGCATACTAATTAGGTTTGAAATAAAACGTAAAACCAAAGAATAAGAAGCTAGGCATGCATGCCGGGGTGATAATTCGCCTTACCAATGCAGAGCAGCGCGGTGGCGGTGAGCGCGGGCGCGTATGGCTGCAGCGAGTGCGCGCGGCGCGCCGCCAGCGCGCTGAGCCAGCCGCACGCCGCGCGCGCGCCGCCCGCCTCCCACACGCGCACCGCGCGCAGCGCTGCGCATACAGCACGACAATACACAACCAATACAATACACTTTTCCCAACTGTCCAGAACGACAGTTTTCTATGAATTTTTTACGAGATTGTGATTTGTGACGTCACGTTTTTTAGCATCAAAAAATACTAAAATTAATTACGTCAGTAATACTTTGTTGTATTGAACAGTTGAAATAATTTATTTTTGATTAAAGAAACTACCCAATTATAGGTCCAATTGAAACAATTTCATTCTCTTCATTTCATTCAATTCCATACTTAGCCGATATTATAATACTGCAGCAGAAGAAGCATAGAGAGGGGGGACGCACAAATGTACCTGTTGAGTGTATTTATTGTATTTGCATGTCTGACATGCAATCTCCGCTTGAGTGTCATTCTATAATACAAAGCTTAGATTTGCTTAAACAACAAAATTGCAGCAACTTTCGCGCATCATAATTAAGAGTAGACAGACCAACTGGAAATACTATATTTTGAATATGTACCAAAACTCATCATTTCTCTGATATTTTTTTTCTCTCAACAACCGTTTTTGTAGTGGGAGAGCCATGCTTAGGCACGAATGGGCCGGCTCGACCGGAGTGATACCACGGCCTCATAGAAAACGGACATGAAGCAACGCTTGCGTTGTGTTTCGTCGTGTGAGTGAGGTTACCGGAGGCCCAATCACCTTCCCCTTCCCCAATCTCTCCAATCCCTGAATCCCCAACGATCCTCAAACTCCTAATCCCCAAAAAGCTGGTGACACACTTGTAGCGCCTCTGGTGTTCCAGGTGTCCATGGGCGACGCCGATTGCTTACCATCAGGTGATCCGTCTGCTCGTTAACCGGCTTATGCCATAAAAAAAAAACCAAGCCTTATAAGCTGTGTAACTTAAAGTAAGAGCGAATTGACCGACATCATTTATATTAGGAACTTCTCTACGGACTATATGTAAGCGTACAGAGAGTAAAACACTAGCAACTAACCCAGCTCGATGAGATTAAGCAGCATGTCGTCGATCCAGTCGATGTACTGCGGCTTCTTCTTGGTGATGGTCTGCAGCAGCGTGAACAGTCCCTCGGTGAGGTCGGGGCGCGCGGCGGGCTCCTGCGTCAGTAGGCGCGCGCTGGGGGCGACGCTCGCTCGCAGCACGTTGCGACACCCCGCCCATTCCGCACCCACGCTCATCACCATCTTACAGTTATAAAGGTTTTTTGGTATATTACGGTGATATTTAGCCTTTTTTTCCTCAAAGGGGAGGCAGAAAGTAGCTTTTCGCTAGTTACATTTTTTATAATAAGTATCGTGAGACATACTAAATTAACTAAAAATCGTGAGTTACTCACGTGAATATACTGAGAAAAGCTCTACTAGTTTCGCCTACTCTGGCTGTGCGACATTGACACGACCGTGCACGCTGCTTATTAGGAAGAACCCCTCTGTGGTTCGAAACTGGTAGAGTTTCTCTCAGTATATTCACGTGATTAACCCGCGATTTTTAGTTGAGTTACATTTCTATTTCTCATCCTTCAACCAATACAAATTCTCAGATTCTGAAATGATTAGCAGGTACGAACTTTCGAAAATCTCCGACACCGACATCGGCCTGAAGACTCTTCAATCGGTGGATTGGCTGGCGAATTTTGACTAAAAAAGCAGTATCAAATCATAAAACCTGAGAGAAAGAGGTATTGACAGAATAAACCTAAAAAAACACCAATGCTTACGATTCTAGTGTTGGAATACTGAAACGCTAATCAATTTTAAGTCGCGCTTAAGTATAGTTCTGTCTCCACAAATTCTTTGTGAAATGACAGAGATGGCACGATATTTAAGCACGACTTAAAATTGAGTAACGTTTCAGTATTCTATAGGACTTGCAAATTAGGATCAACTTCGGATTGTTTTAATTATAACTTATATATATTATATAGTTTACCAGTTTAACGACATCGAGTCCCGAAGCACAGGGGCAGGTGTTGAAGCCGGCGATGAGTAGCTCCGCCACGTCCGACACTACCGGCAGTAGCTCGTCTATTAGAGACGATACTGTTTGCTTCAGTATGTGGAACATTGACTGGAAGGACGACGATAAATCAGGTTAAAAGTATAATTTATGCAAATTAATGCTTGTTTTAGAAACTGATGGAGTATTTCATGACCACTTTTGATAAGAAACTGATTATGACCGGGAAGTCAAAACCAGTCTTTTATATAGCTGGGAGTGTGTGAGGCGTTTTCCATAATTGATTCCCATAGACGACGGTTCCCAAAGAGCAGTTAGCACCAGCCAGCCACCCGCAAATGGGGGAAGGCCTGTTTCTGGATGACTGGTCGTAGTTATAAGACAAACCTGAGTCCATTATCGTCTTAGCATTAGCAGATTGTATTAATTTATTTATCAATAATCTACAAACAATAGACACAGCTAAAATAGTTAAAAATCTTAGTTTAATTAATATGAATGGTTACCTCTACAAGCGCGGCATTACTGGCGTATGGCGGCAGTGCGGGCGCCAGCACCCGGAAGAGGTCCACAGCGAGCGCCCCGCTGGGCGCCAGCGCCCCCAGCAGCGCCGCGCAGCACTCCGCCGCACTGGCGCCGCCCGCCGGGGACTGCGCCTGCAATAGCAGGGATGATGACAGGGTATGAAAATCTAATTAGTCCGTCAGTTAGGTAATGAAAAAATATCAGAATGAGAAATCCACGCGAAATACACTGCTTTGCGATAACGCATCGCCATTTTTTTTTTAACTTTATCCCACACTAAGATTTTCTCCTGTGACGTTGCTACGTTTACAACAAACATACAAGTTCACATACACATGACAGTCAGACCCGAAAAAACAATCTGTGCATCACACAAAAAGTTGCTCCGTGCAGGAATCAAATCCGCTACACGTTGCGCGGCAGCCGGTTTCCCAGTCCCAGTCGTTTATAACATCACAGAAAATATATTTTATTACTGTTGAAAATAGAAGAAATTATGCACTATTCATATAAATTGATGTGATTAGGGAGTCAACTTGATGAATAAAAAAATTGTCGAAAACTTTTGAGTACTTTTCAAGAGCTCCTGCTTGGGATTACGTGACGAACTTGAGGTAGGTAGAATGACACATAAAGATAGCAGTAGGTATGGTGGTACCTGCGCGACGAGGTCTGCGTGCAGCGAGCGCGCCAGTGCGTGCAGGAGCGGCGCCGCGGCGTGCCGCTCCGCCGCCGCCAGCGCCGCGCCCGCCGCCGACACCAGCTGGCGCCGCACCCACGCGTCCGACTTACTGCCGCTGCCCTGGAACGACTGCAGTACTCCCGGGGTTAGTACAGAACATATAGAAAACTTTATCTTGCTCCAAAGAGAGACGAAGGTGATGAATGCAATAAAGCGACTTTAAAACTTAATCCAAGTTCTGGTAAAATTAAAATATGAACTTCAGAGTAGCCAAAAATCTAAATAAATGTTGATAAATAATAGGATCACCTTCTACTGATAAATGTATTTAAATTTCGATCAGTAAGTAATAGCTAAGAGCTCCTTTTAGCACGGACGGTAAAATCCTCATAGCACTTCACTGTAGGGTTGAGTAGTTGTAGTAGTTGTACCTGTGCAGCCTGTACGATGTCGGGCGCGAGCGCGGCGGCGGGCCCGCTGCAGTCGGCGGCCAGCTTGCGCAGCGCCAGCGCGGCCGCGGCCGGGCAGCGGGGCAGCGCCGCGCCCGCCGCGTGCACGCACTCGCGGCCCAGCGACGACACCGCCGCCTCGCCGCCCGCGCCCGCCACCGACCCCACCCACGTCGCGTACCCGCCTGGACCACGACATTATTCATACTACTCATATACACAGTAAAACAAATATTTTTCACGAACGCGAGCTGTGCTTTGGCACTAATAAGCACACAGAAAACCAGAGCGAAACAATGTTGGGTTTTACCTTAACTGGGTACTTTCCTTAATCAAAAATAAATTATTTCGACGGTTCAATACAATAATATATTGAAAAATAATCACACTTTTATTAACTGATTTTATGACCAACTTAATTATTGTAACTTGTTCAGCAATTTTTTTAAAAAGACGACGTCCACAAAATACATAACGTCGCAATACATAATCTCGTATAAAATTCATAAAAAACTATCGTTCTTGATAGTTCGGAAAAAGTATTGAATTTGACTAGTTGGTACTAAAGTACCAAATTGAATGACCCTTGCGAAGTTACCGAGACAGTCGAGTGCAGTGCTGAGCAGGGGTTTGGCGGTGGCAGTATGCGCGGCGTGCAGCGCGTGCTGCAGGAGCTGCAGCAGGGCGGGCTTGACGCAGTGCGCGGGCGCGGCGTCGGCCAGCGCCGCGAACACGTGCAGCGCGGCCTCGCGCGCCGCCTCGCCCTCCGCGCCCTCGTAGCTGCAGCGCACTATGCTCCAGCACCACTCGCCCAGCACGCCGTAACAGTACATCTGTCAGACACAGGTATCGCGTGATAATCCATTCCTAATCCTAAGCCAGGGACTAATTTTTGCCAGTTCCTCTCAGTCAATGACTTGTATAGTGATTGAGAGAGTTGTATCAGAATGAATTATAAACATCAGCTATGGCTGCAGTGAGGGTTTATAAGCATTCGCCCAAATATACATTTTTTTAACTGCCTCGTTGGCAGAGTGTTCGTAAGTGCGACTGCTGGGCAAGGAATCTCGAATTCGATTCGTCGGGCAAAGCATAATTGACTTTTTTTTTATTCTCAGTAGTAGCACGGAGTCTGGAATTGTGCCCGATATATGGCAATAGGCTCAACACCTATTACATGGGACAAGTAACATAAATAGTGAAAAGTGGGTACATTATACAATGGTGTTAAGTGCCGTAATGTACACCTCTGCCTACCCCTTCTGGGATAAAAAGCATAATATGTGTATAGTTTTTTGTCATATCCTTCCATTTGGAAACTTCTACAATTTAACCCTATCAATTTCGCGCATATTCAGCACTAGCTGTTGCCCGCGACTTCGTCCGCGTAGATTAATGACTTCTGACAGAATTAACCAGAATCAATTCAGTGCCCAAATAAGATTTATCTATTTTGAAAAGATTTATCGTAGTTTCAATAAATTGATTTGATTTGAAATAATCCCGCAGGGATCTTACCAGTACTGTGTCCGATCACGTAAGGTTTGAGTAATTAAAACTATTCTATCGACTATTGTTGTACCGAATCTCTCTAAAATAAGTTCAGTGGTTAAGAGTTAGAGAGGCCTTGGGCATTGACGCATAGTTCCCGTTCTCGTGAGACATCTGTGATAAAAACTATCATACGTTACTCAGGTCCCAAATCATCGTTTTACCGAATGTAATTCAAAAAGATTCAATGATTCTAAATTCAAAGGCTAAGAAGATTTATACAAACTCTCAATCCCTATTTTATCCCCTTAGGGGTGAAATTTTTCGGGAGGTACCTGATGTGTCTGATGGGGCGGGAGGAAACGCCCGGGTGTCATCACTGCGAGGACCGCCCTGAGGACACGGTGGAACACACGGTGGGAGAATGCCCTGCGTGGGCTGAGCACCGCCGTGCCCTCAGGGAAGTGATCGGCGATGGCGACCTCTCGCGTCCGGGCCTAGTGCAGGCCATGATGCGGAGCGAGGGGGACTGGGATGCCGTCTCCTCCTTTTGCGAAGCAGTCATGCTAGCTAAGGAGGAGGCGGGACGCGTGAGGCAGCGAAGCGCTGCCTCCTCGCAACCCAGCCATCGCGAAGGACCGGGCGTCGGGGATCGCGGGACGATCTCCGACCACCGTAAGCGCGGGCCTGCGGACGGCGAGCATGGGTGGCTCCCCGTCCGACCAGAAACAGACCCGAGCGTAAAGCGCTTCGCGTTCCGCGCGCGTCTCAAAGAGCCATCAGACCACCACAGATGGGGCCCAATACGGCCGATGTCGATTCGGAGTCGCGGAGAACCTAACAGGTAACCGGGGCTCCGACTCGACGTGCAGGAGAAGGAACGGGGTGGTTTTTAGTCAGTAAGAGTCTGACACTCCCTCCCGCCTCACCCAGGCGGGAGCAGTCATTCGATGATTTTCCCCCCTTAAAAAAAACGGGTGGAATTTATCAAAATCCTTTCTAAGGAGATACCTATGTATCATATCATATCATAGTTACTTTATGCATACAAAGTTTTAGTCCGATCGGTTTAAAACTGGCAAAGTATCATACAAACTTTCATTCCCTATTTAACCCACTTTGGGGTGGAAATGTTCAAAAACCTTTCTAAAGGGACGTTTATGTCATAGTATCCACCTGCACGCCGAATTTCAACCCGATCGGTGTAAAACTGACAAAGCTTCATACAAACGTTCATCCCCTACATTACCCCATTGGAGGTGGAAATTATCAAAATCCTTACTTGGAGATGCTCACGTCATAACATCTACCTGTATGCCGAATTTCATTTCCATCGGTGTAAAACTGACAAAGCTTCATACAAACTTTCACCCCCTATTTTCCCTCTTAGGGGTGGAAATGATCAAAATCCTTTCTTAGCGGATGCCTACGTCATAACATCTATCTGCATGTCAAATTTCAATCCGATCGATTTAAAACTGACAAAGGCTCATACAAACATTCATCCCCTATTTTACCCCCTTGGGGGTGGAAATTATCAAAATCCTTTCAAAGCGGATGTTTACGTCATAACATCTATCTGCATGCCAAATTGCAACCCGACCAGTTTAAAACTGACAAAGTTTCATACAAACTTTCATCCCCTTTTTTACCCCCTTGGGAGTGGAAATTATCAGAATCCTTTCTTAACGGATGTTTACGTCATAACATCTATCTGCATGCCAAACAACCTGATCGGTTTAAAACTGACAAAGTTTCATACAAACTTGCATCCCCTTCTTACCCCCTTGGGGGTGGAAATTATCAAAATCCTTTCTTACGTCATAACATCTATCTGTATGCCAAATTTTAGCCCAATCTGTCCAGCGGTTTGAGCTGTGCGTTGATAGATCACTATGTCAGTCAGTCAGTCAGTCAACTTTGAATTATATATGTATAGATATCACAATTAATACTAACCACAGAATCAGCAGTGTCTTGTCGGTAGCATCGCAGTAGTTCGAGATCATCCTTGGAGAGGTCGGCGTCAGCGGGCGCGATAGACTTGGTGATTAACGTCTCTAGTAACCGCGAGAACACTTGTTTCCACACTTGGTGGATGTCATTCGTCCTATCCATCAGGTTTAATAGTTCATCCTGGATAAAAAATACAAGATTTTACTAAATCACATAAAAAAAAAACACACTTGTATTCTGTGACATGTGTATACAGAATGACTTTTTAGTCATTTTAATCCCTTAAGTGTTTTAACTTACACAATCATATTCTTTTTTTTTTTTTTTTTTTTTTATGACATAAGCATTATTCATTAAAATCCAACACATCATAAGTATGAGATGTTAAAGATCAAATAAATTAGTATGTAGGTAAGTAAGCAATAAGTCTATGAACATTTCTAGTGTATCAACTATCACATAAAACAAAAAGTTACCTGTAGTGTGTACCAGAAGCCGAAGGTAAGGTTGGAGCGAGTCTCGTGTATGGGGTAGTGGCCGGGCGCGGCCTGCGCGGCCAGTATGAGTTCAATGACCTGCCTGGCGCCGCGCGTGGTGTCGGAGTCGTCCGCGCTCTCCGCCGCCTTCACCAGCGCGTGCGCGTGGCACTCGCCCACCGCGACGCAGCATGTTAACAGGGCTGATAACAGCTCCTAAGGGAAATATAGCTATTTTTTTAATTGACAGCCACGGAAGGCCTAACAGGTTGCCGGGAATCCGGATCGAAGAGCAAGAGTCTGACACTCCATTTCGCCTAACCCAAGGCGGGAGAAGAAATTGCATGATTTCCCCCCTTAAAAAAAAACCGAACGTTGCAGGCCATATAGAAGTTTATGGATTGGGGATGGGGTAGGAGAACGTTTTGAGGAGTGTTAAATGTTTTTATTCCATATTATAGTTTACAAGACTACTCGAAAGATCTATGCCAGGCACATAATTTATTGTACAAAATGAAATAACTTGATACCTCATTGACAGAGTTGGGCACATTATCCCTGGCCATGAGTGGCGCGGTGAGTGCGGCGAGGTGCGCGAGTAGTTGTAGCGCGGACTCTGGATAGCGCACCGAAGCCGACGTACTGGCCGCCGCGCGGACGCCAGACAGACACGCCTCGCACGCGTCCAGTGCTGAGTCGCTTACTACTGAGTTCCAGCTATAGTATGTCAAAAGATACATATCGTGCCTATTTATTTTGAATTTTTAAGATTTCTCAAGATTCAAGTTTTTTAATAACATGAAAAACAGTTTTAGCTATTACTTTAAATGTCATAAACAACATATTATGTTGCTGTCACAAAGTAAGAGCTATTTTAGGAATCCTTATTTTGTACATTTTATGTATCAAGGATAATTAATTGGCTTTGCAACTAAGGACCTTTTAAGGAGAAATTCTTTTACGACTAACTAATTTTTTCTCAAATATAATATAAGCATTGGTTACTTTGAAAATACATACATATATGGTCATACGAGAAACTATTTTTTCTTATTCCCATATCTGAACCCTATCTTTACTTGTTACTTTACAAATAGGTTAATGATTACCTTAGCATTGCATAGAAAGAAATACGTGTGTATACTAACGTGGACAGTAGCTGCACGACGGCAAGTAACGCGCGACAGAGCGGCATGCGGTCAGGCAGCGAGCCGCGCGGGTGCTCGGCCGCGTCCTCCCCGCCCAGCGTCAGCCAGCTGCACGCGCACGTTGCCACCGTCACCCAGTTCTGCACCGTCTCCTCCGAAGGAGCCTCCTTAGTGTACTCAGGACTAGAGAACAGACAAGTCTACATACAGAGTCTAAAGTGGCAAATCCTCCTCCACACTATTACATGGGACTCCTGCTGATACACTTGGCAAAAAAGTGGGCAGCATTTTGATGTATGCTTTTCTTAGGGAATAACAGACAATGTTGTGATTATGTTATTATTATTATTCATACATTTTTGTCAATGGTTTAATAATTTTATACCTATCCCATTATCTGCACCACAAAAGACATGTTTATGCAAAAAAAAGATAATGCAAAACAGTCTTGTAATTTTTTATTATCTCAAATGTTTTATTTCTAGATAAGAGCACTGCAGTAAAACATAATAACAAAAACTTACTTATAGACAGCTTGTAGCCATCGCAACATATCATCTAAAACCGCAGGGCAAGCTTGTTGCAGTGCTATGCGGTTCTTGGTTCTCAGAGAGGATCCCATTGTCATACTGTTGTACTGTTAACAATTAACAATAGACAATATTTTGATCATTAGATTGAAATATCATTATTATTAAAGGCCAAGGCTCATTGCTGTTTTTTAATTGTGATAATGATTTTATAATATCTATGTTTTAGTATAAATGATTTACTCACTTCTTCAGGTATCACAGTAAGTACTTCTAATAAAAGTGCAGTGTTTTCTGGTGTAGACAGAGGGCTTAATATCGCAGCCAGATCTACCGTTCCTTGTTGTAAGATAAATGCTGCTAACTGAAACAAATATAATGTAAGCTATGATCTATATACCGACATGTATGGCATATATTTTTCATAGTAACCAAAGTGCAACTGTCAAACACCCAGCGGTCACCGGTGACTGCAACCTATTGTTCTATAATTGCGTCTATAATGACGGTACTCAACGAGTTAAATTGACCACACTTGAATGAAACACACATGCAAAGATATTTTGTAAATTTTTTGTCATCAGTTTACTATTTCATGAAGTTCATGCATAAATAGTCACGGGTCCCTGATAGTGTTCAATATTTCAGTTACCTTAAATGTAAAATAAAACCTGTTTCATGTTATATTGTTACTTACACTGATACATAATCTATTGGTTACAATCTTAGGTCCTTTTGAATAAGTAAACACAGCCTCAAGTAGTTTATTTTTTAACTCTTCATAGCTCTCTGGTGGCACCTCATTCCAGCAACGAAGAATCTTTGTGTGCAGGGTTGTTGCTGCATAGAATTGAATTTCGGTTCCCTAAAAAAAGTCTACCGTTAAGGTTTATACTTATACTTAGTAAAAATATAATTTCTACTTCCAGTTTAGAATGTATCAGAGGACTACAACTACAGATACAATATACGTTAAAATCATTTCTACTGCTTATTAAGGATATTTTGATAGGTACCAATGAGAATATAGGTTGTAGAAAGTACTAAACTGCTTATCAGAAGAGAAATTAGATCTTTTTACCTTGCTTGGCTGAAGAAAGTCCCAGACAAAATTCCAAGCCTCTGGCACCCGCTGTGCAGCCGTGAGCCAGGCATGAGCCTTAGCTCTTTCACTTTGCTCTCCATTATAGAATACAGAGACAGCATATTCTAAATTTTGTGGTGAATACTCCATTTTCTAGCTGTTGTGAACAGTTTAGCTAAGCATCCAATAAAGTTATACCATATGTTATATATTTCTTACCGCACCCTTTGTTTACAGAATCTGTACCGAGGAAACATTATCACATTTGGCGCGCCGAAACACAAGTAAATACAATATATTTTAATGCTGGAGACCAATATTTTCGTATTCCTACCACTAATCAATGGTTGAAGTGACAGCTGTGACAGCAGCTTGACAGGTCAGCTGTCGAAATTGAAGCAAAGTTTCGTTTCAAGCAGTATTTTTATACTCCGATGTCGCTAAAAAGACAATCTTCGTGATATCCAGTCATACAAAGATGGTGTAATAAAGGAATGAAAACGTAAAAATTACTTTTGTGTTTAAAAACATTTGTATGTGCAAAATTGTATCGAATACTGTGTCCCAAGGACTAATCTTCCTCCGTACTGTTCTTGACTATGACTACTGTGGAGCACTATCAAAGCCAAATAGTAACTACCACGGTGCTATACCTCGCCAGTTTCCATACATAGGTAGTATACTCTGCCAGTTTCTATCCACAATTCGTCAGCAGAATCAATAAATCAATTAGTTCATTTAGTCGTTCATTGATTGGTAGTGCAGTTCAATAGTTCGTTCATTTCATTCATTCAAAACTCGAGTTTGTTGTGGTGCGGCTCGCGAGTGCTGATTTTAAATATTTTTTCTTTAATTATTTCCAAAAACACCCGATAAACACAATGAAGATCGAGGAAGTGAAAAGTACTGCTAAAACCCAAAGAATATCAGCCCACAGTCATATTAAAGGATTAGGTTTGGATGAAAATGGAGTTCCCATTCAAATGGCAGCCGGTCTCGTGGGCCAGGAATCTGCAAGAGAGGTAAATTCTTAATTTTTTTAGTTAAAAGATAGTAATATTAATAAGCATACGCAATTATTATCACTAAGTTCCAAGAATCTAGATGTTTCTGCACTATCGATTAAACTTTGAGGTTAAGTTTTTTGGTTACCATGGAGTTGTAACTTCATCTGATAACCAGGCTTAAAATATAATTTGGAGCATTGAATACTATCTAAGTTCTAATAATGCTGAACTGCTCAAATGCTACGAAAATACATCTTAAAAATTTGATACAACCAGAATATTTAGAATCTATAAATATAAAAGAGAAAAATCATTGACTAATGGAGGTTTTGTGACTGATAGGAGAATGAAAAGAGAGAATGGCATCTTAAATTTATATTCCCATTTACATTATAGGCTGCAGGAATAGTGGTTGATATGATAAGGAGCAAAAAGATGGCTGGCCGAGCCTTGCTCCTAGCTGGGCCACCTGGCACGGGTAAAACTGCCATTGCTTTAGCTATTGCCCAAGAACTGGGTACCAAAGTGAGTATTGAAATTGATGACCCTATTGTTTTGAGATGAAGATTGAATTTCTTTTGTACTTATTACGACACCTTTTATTTACTGAAATAGTATACCAATGTACACATATTGTGAAATGTACTTTTAACAATGTTGAGTGTATGCTTGGAGTGTGGCTGGGCTACTGGCTGCCACGCAACATGTCGCGGGTTCGATTCCCGCAAGGAACAACTCTTTGTGTGATCCACAGATTGTTTTTCCCATCTGGGTGTTATGATATACATGAACTTGTATGTTTGGAACACTGAAACACACCCAAGAGACAGGAGAAAATCTTAGTGTGGAGTGTTTTTTTTTTTAATTGTTCTTCTAATAAATGCAAGGTGTAGTCATACACTGGATTCACTTTCAAACTGAGAATTAATTTGTTCTTTTGCCTGACTTTGGGAATCATGTATCTGACATAGATAACAAGAAGTCCACACCCAAGATGTAATAACTAACTCCAGTATTACTATATTTGATAACCATCTGAATTACTAATCTATACTAATAATATAAAACTTATGAGTATTGCTGCAATGCATCTCTAGAATAGCTGGTCTGATTAAAAAAAATGAATAGTCTATTTAACTGAGGTCTTGTCAATTAAATATTTTAATTCCACAGGTGCCATTCTGCCCTATGGTTGGCAGTGAGGTATACAGTACTGAAATTAAGAAAACAGAAGTGCTAATGGAGAACTTCCGACGTGCCATAGGATTACGAATTCGTGAGACCAAAGAGGTTTATGAAGGAGAGGTCACTGAACTTACTCCAGTGGAAACTGAAAATCCTGCTGGAGGTATTTGTTTCATTAACATTGTTTAGTTACATTTTCAAATAAGAAGAAATTTGATTAATATTTGTGAAAAATCATTTTTAGAAGACATCAGTTCCTATAAAGTAAGCAAATTGTTTCAGGTTATGGCAAAACTGTGTCTCATGTCATCATTGGGCTGAAAACAGCCAAAGGTACAAAACAGTTGAAGTTGGATCCTACCATTTATGAATCTCTACAGAAAGAGAAAGTAGAAGTTGGTGATGTCATCTACATTGAAGCTAACTCTGGAGCTGTGAAGAGGCAGGGAAGGAGTGATACCTTTGCCACTGAGTTTGATCTTGAGGTAAATACAAACCCCATTCTTTATTTTGCTGTTTAAACTGAAACCTGAATATACTTAGAATAGGGTAGATGCCTAATTTTTATTTTAATGTCTGCCTGGTAGATTATTTAAATCATTAGACACATATTTTTTTATTTTCTTACAGAAATGAATACTTTCTACGATATATTGATTTCAAATGTTGCGTGATGTCACTTCTATGTACATTTTATTTATTTTTATTTATTTTTTATTTATTTATTTATTTATTTATATGTAGAAATGACGTTTTAGCCCCCACTCCTAAACTTTGATTCGTTTTATCTGAGTATTGTTTTATTATACTACAAAATAAAAAAATACGTCTAATATTTTTTCATTACCTAACTTATGGACTAATTAGATTTTTTATTTACATACCCTGTTAAATCCCAATTAAGTTGAAAATCCTATGTGTACGCGCCTACTTCAATACGCATAGCAATTCGTCGTTAGATGATTTACGTCTAGTTAAATTATTTTTATATGACATTTATGTTTACAATCTTCAACAGCGGGTAGATTGTTGCACCAGTCTATTCTACTACCGATTTCGAACAGTCACCATCTCTGCTTTCTATGTCTCCAAAAAATATTGTAATACACATAATTCTAAAGTTCTTTTGAGTTTCACTAAAGAAATTCCATTCTTGTGCGTAAACACTATGACTAACAATTATGATTTATGAAACTGAACATTGTTCTAGGCTGAAGAATATGTTCCGCTGCCAAAAGGTGATGTTCACAAGAAGAAAGAAGTTGTTCAGGATGTAACTCTGCATGACTTGGATTGTGCCAATGCTAAGCCACAGGGTGGGCAAGATATCATGTCCATGATGGGCCAACTAATGAAACCAAAGAAGACTGAGATTACAGGTACAGATAATAAAATTTACTATAATCTACATTTATCATGTTTTATATATTCATTAGATGGAAGACAAACTGTAGTCTTGTTATGTTGACAGTAAGGTCTATTCCTTTGATGAAAAAATGTCCAAGTAAGTAAGCCGTCAGCCACCCAATCATATAGAATTGATGTATTAGATGATACTAATAAGTTTGATGTTACAGATAAGCTGAGGAAAGAAATCAATAAAGTAGTAAACAAATACATAGACCAAGGTATAGCTGAATTGGTGCCAGGAGTTCTGTTCATTGATGAGGTAACAATCTCTTCTAGCTTGTACTTCTTATAATTTCATATGTTATTTGTTCCTTATAAATGGCAAGCTAATGGCATTTTTTTAAAATCATTAACTTTCAGGTACACATGCTAGACATTGAAACATTCACATACCTACACCGGGCCTTGGAGTCGGCTATTGCGCCTATTGTTATTTTCGCTACGAACAGAGGCAAATGCCAAATAAGGTAAATTATATATTCTAATGTACCTATATTAGGGTTAATAGAAATTGTGGTGATATTTATAATGGTATCTTTTTATTCCAGAGGCACTGAAGACATAATTTCTCCACACGGAATTCCATTAGATCTTTTGGACAGGCTTCTGATTATTCGCACTTTGCCATACAACAAAGCTGAGCTTTTGCAGGTATATAACTACATACATACTTATTATAAACAGTCTAAATGTTTAGTAAGTATTTGTAAACATGTTGTACTTATTTTTAAAAATGTTTGTTTTCAGATATTGAAACTTCGAGCGGCGACAGAAGGTATTGCTATTGATGACGAAGCCCTCACCGCCCTTGCAGAAGTTGGAGCTAACAGTACCCTTAGGTAATACTTCTAAAAGTATTATGTAAGCAAGTATGCTTACGCTTACGCCCAGTAGGGCGTAACTGACAAATTGTTAAAGCTGATCTCTTAGTTTTGTCTAACATTTGGGTTTAGAACACTTATTGACAAAAGCAGTATGTAGATAAAGTAATTTAAGTGTGGGACAGCCATGCTTCGGCACGAATGGGCTGGCTCGACCGGAGTGATATCACGGCCTTATAGAAAACCGGTGTAAAGCAACGCTTGCGTTGTGTTTCGTCGTGTGAGTGAGGTTACCGGAGTCCCAATTACCCTCCCCTTCCCCAATCTCCCCAATTCCTGAATCCCCAATGATCCTCAAGTCCCCAAAAGGCCGGTAACGCACATGTAACGCCTCTGGTATTCCAGGTGTCCATGAACGACGCCGATTGGTTACCATCAGGTGATCCGTCTGCTCGTTTACCGGCTTATGCCATAAAAAAAAAACAGTAATAAATGTCGTATGTTGTTGCTAGGTACGCAGTGCAGCTACTGACGCCGGCGTCGCTGGCGGCGCGCGCGGACGGCGCGGCGCGCATCACGCCGGCCCACATCACGTCGGTGCACACGCTGTTCCTGGACGCCAAGTCCTCCGCCCGCATCCTCACACAGCACTCTGACAAGTACATGAAGTAAACCCAAGCACTCTAGGTATTTCTAACTGTTGAACAATCCAACTTTAAGCCTATATTCATTGATCGGATTGATTCTCACAACTGTCGATATCTCATATTACCCATTATCGTATGTATACATTCAAGTATGTAGTTTTACTATAATAAATAGGTGTCTTGAATGACACCATAGTATCGAAATCTTGTACTGATATGTATTTCCAGTAAGACATTTAAAATGTGTTTCCATTATATTTAGTTTGACACTATTCATGTGATATGTTCTATTTGAAAGCACTGTATAAGATAATTTAATCAACGTCTATAAACAATGTGTCTGGTAGTTCTATGCATTAGAGGGATGTCTATTTTTGTTCTGACTTAGGATTTGCACTTTAGTTTGATGGTGTTCATTCCACCGAATGTTACATATTATTGGTGTTCAAGAAAGAAAGCGGAATTGTATAATAAATAAGTTTTTATTTTATAAAAAGTTTCTTATTCTATGTTAGACCTATATTTATTTACACAACAATAATTTCAGGCTTTTGCAATTCATATAACAACAGTAAAACAACTCTTTATCGAAAACATTCAATGTAACTAATATGTACGAACGTTGTTACTCTAACAAAATGTATGTACAAAATAATTATCTTGCATTTATTTACAACTTTAAATAGTACCTCACAGTCTTAATGTCCACTCACGTTTGTCTAGAGTTGGATGGAATTTCGTCGCCTGGTTTGACGTACCCGACAGGAATGTACCTGGCTTCATTTTTAGCTGGTGCCGTAGTACTGGGTGCAAGGGTAGTGGTCGGCGGGGTGAACGTCGGGAGGTCCACGTGTAGGTCTGTGGGCGAGCCCGTGTGTCGGTACAGCGCTTCGAACTGTAACTCCTCTGGGTACGAGTGCGATCGTATCTTTCGCTCGTCTCTCGCATTGCTTGGGTACACAATGACTATCTTTTCGCCTTCACTTCTCAGCGCTACGGGTGGTAGCGCTGTGCTTGTTGATACGGCCGGTCCCGGCACTATTTTCAGCATCTCGGTGGGCGACGCTCGAATTTTTTGAGTCGTAGTTGTAGTTGGTGGTGTGGTTGTACTAGTAGTGGTAGTAGTCGTGGTGGTCACTGGTATTTCTGGGTCTTCTGGAGACTCCATATCGCGCTTCGCTCCTGGCGGTCCAACTGTCCGCAACGTTTCGATTTTCATTTCTAAAGTAGGTGTCGGCACGGGTATAGAACTCGTGACATTAATTTCCTCGGTGGGAATAAACCTCGCAGTTGGTTTCGGCACCTCTCGGGAGCCGAATATTGGCAAGCGCGGTGCATAGGCTGACACTAGAGGTAGTAAGGTATCTCGGGCATATCGTTCGGCTCTCGAAATGAACGATGCCAGTCGGGAAGGCAGGAATTGAACAACAAATCCCGGTTCCTCTTTCTCGGCTCTCTCACCCCACGTTACGGTATCGTAAGTGGGTGTAGTTGACATGTCGTAGTTCTTAGCTTTTCGTATTGGTGAAATAGTTGTGGTCCTCGGTGGTCGCGTCGCTCTCAGTAATGGTTCCGATATCTCTTGTTCGTCGGGTGAGTCGGCTCGCTGGCGAGGCGTTTTTCGTAATCGTGGTCGGAGCACTGGCTCGGCGATTTCGATAGCTCCACTGGGAGCAGTTTTGGTGTTGGTCATTCCGAAGGCTCGTCCTGTGTTTTCTCCTTCCGTCCACTCATACGTGTCCACTAAGGTGAATGGTCGCTGTGGAGAGTCCTCGGGGAGTTCGTTGTCAACAGGGTCAATGGTGTTCCCTTCTTCTTTTGTTGTGTTTTGTTTGTTCATATAATGAAGATTACTTGTTGCGTTCAATAGCTCATTCTCCTGCGGGGAAAAAACACATTAGTAAGCTATCGTATTTACTGATCGGGCTTTTTTCATCAAGTTAGTAATAATAACAATACCTCTTGTATTTCACAATCCCCAGGGTACAGCGGCATTTCGATTGATTCTTCGGATAATAACTGAATTCCCTTTTTGCAGAACGATGACCTGAAACATACAAGTACCTATTATAAAACATGTTTTTTGTATCCCTGTTTACTTAATTTTCTGTAACTGCACATTTATTTTGTACAAAAGTTTCAACGATTTGCTTACGTCTTGGAGAAGCTGTCAGTGATGAGCAGTTTATGTATGTGTATGGACTTGGCACTAGCGCTGAGCCAGCCGGAGTAGCCAGCGTAATGTAGGGAGGCGCGCAGTGGCACGCCCAGCGCGGGGTGCGGCACCAACACTCGCGTGAACCTCGCACTGCCGTTCACTACGTCTTCTCGTCTGTGAAATAAGTAGATAAATAGATAAGGAATATTTCTAGTGTCATTTCATGAAATAGGACATGAAATAGAATCATCTGCTGAGGGGATGTGCCAAAACCTTGTTTGTTCTACTGGTTTGTTATTATATTATTATGCTCTTCCATATTTATTTATTTATTAGGGAAAGGTTGTAGAACTCAATTAATAAATACTATTAAATGTATTAATCATACTTGGTCATCGGGAAGGACTCGTTGAGTCCGGAGTCTCCGTGCAAGGTCAGCGTCACTCGGCCGAAGTTTGCCTTCTCTCCTGCTGCGCTACTGGCCCACACCGACACGTGGTATTGATGTGCTGGAAAATATTATAAAAATCTAGAAAACTAATCTAATCATGTTAAACAAACGACGATGTACAAGCTTCCTTGTCCCTGTTCAATGAATTTCTAAGAAAATCAGATGCTAGATGTAGATGTAGATATGTATATTTAGATTGTTTAATAGGGAAATATACTTCACACTCGAACCTCCACTATGAAGTTCAATGTACATAGTACAAAATTAAAGTTATACCACAAAAAGGTTCTTCCTCCCTGGTGAGTAAGTAGAGTTGACCGCGGCCCAAGGACCGGTCAGCGTAGTACCCCATGTTGCCACAGCGGCGCTGTCCGTCGCAGGGGAAACACCGACCCTGATATTACAAAGGAAGGTTAAGAATGTTAAGGTCAACAAGTTATTAAATATGCAGGCAATTGCAAAACTAGTTGTCCGCCAGCAATGAGTAATTTGTACTACATTTTTTTAAGTGGATTCTTCAAAAAAGGAATAGGTTGATTCTGCATACCAAAGTTTGTGTTCATTTTGGGATACATTTATCCTTTGTCTTTTCTATAAATAAAATTCTGTAATATTGCGTCCATTTTTGACGTATGCGGCATAGCGCCCACGAGTTCAATTCATGTTTAACGCAGACGCACTATAATGTGAATGAGATCTTAAAGTAAATCAGACTGCTAGTCAAGATAATTAGTATTCTATGGCAATCTTTGTTATGATTCACCTCCCAACGCACCCTTGAGGTCTACCGCAGGAAATAAACATATGGGTTCAAAAGAATAGTCTTAATCTTTATTTTTTACACAACATACTCTCACATGCAATTTACCACATGCAATCTATCAAATTACCGTTCAACCGCAAATCAGTTCCTACTATGTCTTTGTGGTAGAAAAATCAGACTTCCTATGTTAGTAACTTATCTAAGAACTAAAAGTATCAACACAGCAAGAGGATGCGTGCGTCGATCGCTGGTTCGCCTGTGTCCCCTACCAAATGAAGATGATATTCAAGGTTGAAGATCATAGACCTTCAACGGGGGGAGTCTATGTACGCGCCTACTTCAATACGCATAGCAATTCGTCGTTAGATGATTTACGTCTAGTTAAATTATTTTTATATGACATTTATGTTTACAATCTTCAACAGCGGGTAGATTGTTGCACCAGTCTATTCTACTACCGATTTCGAACAGTCACCATCTCTGCTTTCTATGTCTCCAAAAAATATTGTAATACACATAATTCTAAAGTTCTTTTGAGTTTCACTAAAGAAATTCCATTCTTGTGCGTAAACACTATGACTAACAATTATGATTTATGAAACTGAACATTGTTCTAGGCTGAAGAATATGTTCCGCTGCCAAAAGGTGATGTTCACAAGAAGAAAGAAGTTGTTCAGGATGTAACTCTGCATGACTTGGATTGTGCCAATGCTAAGCCACAGGGTGGGCAAGATATCATGTCCATGATGGGCCAACTAATGAAACCAAAGAAGACTGAGATTACAGGTACAGATAATAAAATTTACTATAATCTACATTTATCATGTTTTATATATTCATTAGATGGAAGACAAACTGTAGTCTTGTTATGTTGACAGTAAGGTCTATTCCTTTGATGAAAAAATGTCCAAGTAAGTAAGCCGTCAGCCACCCAATCATATAGAATTGATGTATTAGATGATACTAATAAGTTTGATGTTACAGATAAGCTGAGGAAAGAAATCAATAAAGTAGTAAACAAATACATAGACCAAGGTATAGCTGAATTGGTGCCAGGAGTTCTGTTCATTGATGAGGTAACAATCTCTTCTAGCTTGTACTTCTTATAATTTCATATGTTATTTGTTCCTTATAAATGGCAAGCTAATGGCATTTTTTTAAAATCATTAACTTTCAGGTACACATGCTAGACATTGAAACATTCACATACCTACACCGGGCCTTGGAGTCGGCTATTGCGCCTATTGTTATTTTCGCTACGAACAGAGGCAAATGCCAAATAAGGTAAATTATATATTCTAATGTACCTATATTAGGGTTAATAGAAATTGTGGTGATATTTATAATGGTATCTTTTTATTCCAGAGGCACTGAAGACATAATTTCTCCACACGGAATTCCATTAGATCTTTTGGACAGGCTTCTGATTATTCGCACTTTGCCATACAACAAAGCTGAGCTTTTGCAGGTATATAACTACATACATACTTATTATAAACAGTCTAAATGTTTAGTAAGTATTTGTAAACATGTTGTACTTATTTTTAAAAATGTTTGTTTTCAGATATTGAAACTTCGAGCGGCGACAGAAGGTATTGCTATTGATGACGAAGCCCTCACCGCCCTTGCAGAAGTTGGAGCTAACAGTACCCTTAGGTAATACTTCTAAAAGTATTATGTAAGCAAGTATGCTTACGCTTACGCCCAGTAGGGCGTAACTGACAAATTGTTAAAGCTGATCTCTTAGTTTTGTCTAACATTTGGGTTTAGAACACTTATTGACAAAAGCAGTATGTAGATAAAGTAATTTAAGTGTGGGACAGCCATGCTTCGGCACGAATGGGCTGGCTCGACCGGAGTGATATCACGGCCTTATAGAAAACCGGTGTAAAGCAACGCTTGCGTTGTGTTTCGTCGTGTGAGTGAGGTTACCGGAGTCCCAATTACCCTCCCCTTCCCCAATCTCCCCAATTCCTGAATCCCCAATGATCCTCAAGTCCCCAAAAGGCCGGTAACGCACATGTAACGCCTCTGGTATTCCAGGTGTCCATGAACGACGCCGATTGGTTACCATCAGGTGATCCGTCTGCTCGTTTACCGGCTTATGCCATAAAAAAAAAACAGTAATAAATGTCGTATGTTGTTGCTAGGTACGCAGTGCAGCTACTGACGCCGGCGTCGCTGGCGGCGCGCGCGGACGGCGCGGCGCGCATCACGCCGGCCCACATCACGTCGGTGCACACGCTGTTCCTGGACGCCAAGTCCTCCGCCCGCATCCTCACACAGCACTCTGACAAGTACATGAAGTAAACCCAAGCACTCTAGGTATTTCTAACTGTTGAACAATCCAACTTTAAGCCTATATTCATTGATCGGATTGATTCTCACAACTGTCGATATCTCATATTACCCATTATCGTATGTATACATTCAAGTATGTAGTTTTACTATAATAAATAGGTGTCTTGAATGACACCATAGTATCGAAATCTTGTACTGATATGTATTTCCAGTAAGACATTTAAAATGTGTTTCCATTATATTTAGTTTGACACTATTCATGTGATATGTTCTATTTGAAAGCACTGTATAAGATAATTTAATCAACGTCTATAAACAATGTGTCTGGTAGTTCTATGCATTAGAGGGATGTCTATTTTTGTTCTGACTTAGGATTTGCACTTTAGTTTGATGGTGTTCATTCCACCGAATGTTACATATTATTGGTGTTCAAGAAAGAAAGCGGAATTGTATAATAAATAAGTTTTTATTTTATAAAAAGTTTCTTATTCTATGTTAGACCTATATTTATTTACACAACAATAATTTCAGGCTTTTGCAATTCATATAACAACAGTAAAACAACTCTTTATCGAAAACATTCAATGTAACTAATATGTACGAACGTTGTTACTCTAACAAAATGTATGTACAAAATAATTATCTTGCATTTATTTACAACTTTAAATAGTACCTCACAGTCTTAATGTCCACTCACGTTTGTCTAGAGTTGGATGGAATTTCGTCGCCTGGTTTGACGTACCCGACAGGAATGTACCTGGCTTCATTTTTAGCTGGTGCCGTAGTACTGGGTGCAAGGGTAGTGGTCGGCGGGGTGAACGTCGGGAGGTCCACGTGTAGGTCTGTGGGCGAGCCCGTGTGTCGGTACAGCGCTTCGAACTGTAACTCCTCTGGGTACGAGTGCGATCGTATCTTTCGCTCGTCTCTCGCATTGCTTGGGTACACAATGACTATCTTTTCGCCTTCACTTCTCAGCGCTACGGGTGGTAGCGCTGTGCTTGTTGATACGGCCGGTCCCGGCACTATTTTCAGCATCTCGGTGGGCGACGCTCGAATTTTTTGAGTCGTAGTTGTAGTTGGTGGTGTGGTTGTACTAGTAGTGGTAGTAGTCGTGGTGGTCACTGGTATTTCTGGGTCTTCTGGAGACTCCATATCGCGCTTCGCTCCTGGCGGTCCAACTGTCCGCAACGTTTCGATTTTCATTTCTAAAGTAGGTGTCGGCACGGGTATAGAACTCGTGACATTAATTTCCTCGGTGGGAATAAACCTCGCAGTTGGTTTCGGCACCTCTCGGGAGCCGAATATTGGCAAGCGCGGTGCATAGGCTGACACTAGAGGTAGTAAGGTATCTCGGGCATATCGTTCGGCTCTCGAAATGAACGATGCCAGTCGGGAAGGCAGGAATTGAACAACAAATCCCGGTTCCTCTTTCTCGGCTCTCTCACCCCACGTTACGGTATCGTAAGTGGGTGTAGTTGACATGTCGTAGTTCTTAGCTTTTCGTATTGGTGAAATAGTTGTGGTCCTCGGTGGTCGCGTCGCTCTCAGTAATGGTTCCGATATCTCTTGTTCGTCGGGTGAGTCGGCTCGCTGGCGAGGCGTTTTTCGTAATCGTGGTCGGAGCACTGGCTCGGCGATTTCGATAGCTCCACTGGGAGCAGTTTTGGTGTTGGTCATTCCGAAGGCTCGTCCTGTGTTTTCTCCTTCCGTCCACTCATACGTGTCCACTAAGGTGAATGGTCGCTGTGGAGAGTCCTCGGGGAGTTCGTTGTCAACAGGGTCAATGGTGTTCCCTTCTTCTTTTGTTGTGTTTTGTTTGTTCATATAATGAAGATTACTTGTTGCGTTCAATAGCTCATTCTCCTGCGGGGAAAAAACACATTAGTAAGCTATCGTATTTACTGATCGGGCTTTTTTCATCAAGTTAGTAATAATAACAATACCTCTTGTATTTCACAATCCCCAGGGTACAGCGGCATTTCGATTGATTCTTCGGATAATAACTGAATTCCCTTTTTGCAGAACGATGACCTGAAACATACAAGTACCTATTATAAAACATGTTTTTTGTATCCCTGTTTACTTAATTTTCTGTAACTGCACATTTATTTTGTACAAAAGTTTCAACGATTTGCTTACGTCTTGGAGAAGCTGTCAGTGATGAGCAGTTTATGTATGTGTATGGACTTGGCACTAGCGCTGAGCCAGCCGGAGTAGCCAGCGTAATGTAGGGAGGCGCGCAGTGGCACGCCCAGCGCGGGGTGCGGCACCAACACTCGCGTGAACCTCGCACTGCCGTTCACTACGTCTTCTCGTCTGTGAAATAAGTAGATAAATAGATAAGGAATATTTCTAGTGTCATTTCATGAAATAGGACATGAAATAGAATCATCTGCTGAGGGGATGTGCCAAAACCTTGTTTGTTCTACTGGTTTGTTATTATATTATTATGCTCTTCCATATTTATTTATTTATTAGGGAAAGGTTGTAGAACTCAATTAATAAATACTATTAAATGTATTAATCATACTTGGTCATCGGGAAGGACTCGTTGAGTCCGGAGTCTCCGTGCAAGGTCAGCGTCACTCGGCCGAAGTTTGCCTTCTCTCCTGCTGCGCTACTGGCCCACACCGACACGTGGTATTGATGTGCTGGAAAATATTATAAAAATCTAGAAAACTAATCTAATCATGTTAAACAAACGACGATGTACAAGCTTCCTTGTCCCTGTTCAATGAATTTCTAAGAAAATCAGATGCTAGATGTAGATGTAGATATGTATATTTAGATTGTTTAATAGGGAAATATACTTCACACTCGAACCTCCACTATGAAGTTCAATGTACATAGTACAAAATTAAAGTTATACCACAAAAAGGTTCTTCCTCCCTGGTGAGTAAGTAGAGTTGACCGCGGCCCAAGGACCGGTCAGCGTAGTACCCCATGTTGCCACAGCGGCGCTGTCCGTCGCAGGGGAAACACCGACCCTGATATTACAAAGGAAGGTTAAGAATGTTAAGGTCAACAAGTTATTAAATATGCAGGCAATTGCAAAACTAGTTGTCCGCCAGCAATGAGTAATTTGTACTACATTTTTTTAAGTGGATTCTTCAAAAAAGGAATAGGTTGATTCTGCATACCAAAGTTTGTGTTCATTTTGGGATACATTTATCCTTTGTCTTTTCTATAAATAAAATTCTGTAATATTGCGTCCATTTTTGACGTATGCGGCATAGCGCCCACGAGTTCAATTCATGTTTAACGCAGACGCACTATAATGTGAATGAGATCTTAAAGTAAATCAGACTGCTAGTCAAGATAATTAGTATTCTATGGCAATCTTTGTTATGATTCACCTCCCAACGCACCCTTGAGGTCTACCGCAGGAAATAAACATATGGGTTCAAAAGAATAGTCTTAATCTTTATTTTTTACACAACATACTCTCACATGCAATTTACCACATGCAATCTATCAAATTACCGTTCAACCGCAAATCAGTTCCTACTATGTCTTTGTGGTAGAAAAATCAGACTTCCTATGTTAGTAACTTATCTAAGAACTAAAAGTGTCCAACAAACCTGTATTATGCAATTGAGTAATTGCATTAGACTTACTTCTAGGAAGGTGTCGTAATCCGCGCAAGGGAAAGCAGGGAAGTGGCACTTTGGTGAGACTGAGTCGGTAAAGAACTTGTAGGCCCGCCTGTGGTTGCAGAGGGAACGACCTTCTGGGGACGCTGCAGCCCACGGTAGCACAAAGTCTGATACTGCTCCGACGAACCTGAGGGAATAAGATTTTAACAGTAATGTAGTGTAATGTCTTAAAAATTTTACGATTTTGCGGTAAAATCAACATCGAATTTACTTTAATACGAAGTGATGAAGTTGAAAATCTTTTAAAAAGCTTTACAGATTGGAATAAGTTGTTACTGTACCCATCTATATAATAAGCAATAACTTTTTGCTACATCGCGCGAGTACCCTTCATACATCAGTGATCATTTGATGGATCACTATAAAGTGTACACACATTTCATAAATCATTGAATAATTAATCATTATGTTTTGAATACTAATCCATTAAAAACTTAGATTATTAGATATCTCACATCGATGTTGGATAACAACCTATTTACCAATATTATTTATGATTTAGATATAATCAACGTGTCTTATTCTAGAATTTATGTATATAGATAATCTAGCTACATTTTACTCGGCACGAATTATGGCAAGATTTTGTCGTGGTGAGGGTAAGTTTGAGCATTGTGTATTTTCTCGTTATTGCCATCATTTAGTTTTATTTATATCTACTGGCAACTAAGTTAACGTAAGAATAAAGAAAGAAATTGTGTTGAAAAGTGAGAAAAAATGAAGCACTTACAAATTAGAACATCCGTGTTGGACTCTCCCACCGTTCGGGTAAAAATCGACATGGCCTAGTGGTTGTGCAGCCCCAAGTCCTCCCAAAATGAGAGTCTCGCCGTTGGAATGGATGACGTCGACAAACTTGGCGTCAGACCGGTCCAACCGAGCTCTGGGATCTTGGAACTCGAAGAGAGGCCCTGCTGGATCTAGTCCTGGAATATGTAAGGTTAGTTTAAGATTTTCTGTTTATGGTCGGTATGGTACAAAATTGGTCATAAAATATTATTAGTTAGATAGAAATATCATTAGATTTGATTAACTCATCATTGTAGAAGATTTTTGTCGTATCTAATTTCATAAATGTTACCAACAGAAAAACAGCCCTATCTTAGTAAGTCATTGTGGATCGAGTTTAGTAATAATTTATTTGACGAACCTGTAATACGACTAATATTCCGTAACTCTGAACCCGCAAAACCAGCGACATGGGCGCCTAAACTAAAACCGATGAGATGGACGTCTTCAAACCGCAAATCTATGTGTTTGGCGAAACCTGGAAACCAAAGCAAAATATTATTTATTACCATTCAGGTAGGGTATACTTAAAATGGCTTAAATAATTTCGTTCTTAGGGTTGGTTTTACCTTGCAGCAGCATAGCTAGCTGCTTTCCTACTAGTCTTGTGTTCGCTGCAGCGCGTAGATAGTTGGGCATTGATGCTCCTCCTTCCCAATCTACACAAACCACATTGCATTCTTCCTGTAAATTCAAAATAGGTTCAATTTAATGTATATTTCCATAAACCACTATGGAAGAGAATTTTGGAAGAACCTTCAATATTAACTAAACAAATTAATTTAATTGTATTTAGAAATGATATATCAACTTACAACAGCCATCAAGGCGGACCTCATTTCGTAGACCCATACGTTGTCACAATTGGAACCGAACCCGTGCACAATGACTCTGGTCGGTCGGTTGGGGTCGAAGGCTCGAGCTGCCCAGCCCCACGCCGCCGACATGTTGCTTGCTGATACAGCCAGAAGTGGCTGGTCGCCTCTAAAACACAAAGCACAAAAGAACCATGAATTAAGTATGCAATGCTTTTTGATTCACTAGTTTTCGTAACTAACAGTACCTATAGTTTTTTTTCTATACATGTTATAAAAGGTATAAAACTATTTTCCATGTGCTCTAATACCCCTAGGATTCTTAGATACAGGATTTTTATGTCTACAGCACGTCTCAATCTATCAAGTCCGTTTTATTATTTAATCGTTGTAACCGGCGGTCAATGAATTGTATATTCGTTTCAGTATCAGACTGTCAAGATGAGTAGACATATGTTCCTTTAATCAACGTACCTGCTGATAGTGGAATAGAGTAGGAAGTGCGTGCCCACTTCCTGCGGTGAGCTGGGTAACGTCTCCAGGTACGCGAAGGGGCCAGCATCTTCGAAACATCCGAATTCTCCATAGCATACACTACCTTGAGATCGTTTACTCCTGTAAAGAGATATTTTATTAAGTTAATTACTGCATAGAGGATAGTTATAAGTAGTAATCGTAGAAAGTAAGTATTAGATATTTGTTACAAATAATAGTCTAGACAAGCTCCAAGATTATGAGATATTTCTATATTTCTTTGCTTCCGCTAAGCTAAAATACAGCATAATATTTAACTATACCTACTGAAACAGTTCTATTCATACATTTCCTTATGGGGGTTAAAATTGTCTTTTATCCTTATTTACTACGGTAATTTATGTAAAGGACTACAAAATACTACCATCTATTATGTAACTATAAGAGCTATTTTTCATACGATGTGCATACAAAATCCAAGGTAAAAATATACATAATAATCTCTTAAGAATTTATGTGTGTAAAATTTAGTACATGCTAGTAAACAATGCTTACTTATCAAACATGGTAAAATTTAAATGCGGTATTCATTTGCATAGATAAATACAATTCTTCTAAACAAAGCTGTTCCGTTTTCTTTTGTTAGCGACTGAAAGTTTCAGTTCCGCTCGCATATTACACAATACAGTACCTATATATGTTTACAAGAAAGAAACAAAACCGTTTTGCAATATTGTAAATGAGAAATAACCACGTAACTTAATATTAATAAACAGCCAAACATTAATACATAGTAGTTCCCCAAAAAGCTGTGACGATGTCGTCATCAAAAAAAGTAGGTAGGTATCTATTTAACTCATTAGCGGTTTTCTTCAATTTTTGCAGATGAAATCAAATTAAGACAAAGCACTTATCTAAGAGATTAAATCACACGTCTGAGCTTGCATAACTGCTTAAATATTTCACACAGAAAAAACAATACATTAAATTCTATTATGTAAGTTAAAATAATATTCTCATAACGCAGTGAAGTATGCACTACAATACTATGAAAAATGTTACTCTCTCTGTGTGATCTTCGTAGAAATCTCTATCGTAATTATTATTATTTGGTTCTCATTAAAATTGAAATTTAACAATAGTTTATATATTCTCCTCGCAGTTTTGCAATGAATAGTAATTGCACTTGGTATTTAATAAAAATAATTATTTACTGAGATTTGCAATAAGCAGAAAGGTCGCTATTTCGCTAATAGGTATGTCTGCTTAATATTTCTTAAGTATAGTATCGTAAAACTAATAGGCTATTTAACTAATCCAACGGTCAGTGGAAAATCCAAGGTAAATCTCAATATTTTCCTGTGTTTGCAGGGATTTATATTAAATTATATAATTATATATATGCCTATAAGTTTTTTATGGGACAAGCAAACCGTGATATCCCAAAATCGTTGGATCTTCTGTAATCCAGGGTCTACAGTAGATACACCTATGAAAACATCGAAAGACTTGAATAACTATTGGATCCCGCAATAAAATAATCATGCCTATCTTTACCTAGTCCGTGCTCTCTTCTGCTCCCATTCTTTCATAGACTCCTTGACTGCTTCCAGCAGTTCGGAGTCTCGTTTCTCGTCCTCCGCCTCCTGCGCCTCTGTCGCCGGCCTCCCGGCACCCCGCCATGATTCTAACTCAGCATCTGTCAAATACATAATTTATACGTTACTTTACAATCTTTTATCACGTTTGAGACAATGTACATTTACACATTTTACGCATTTTGGTGTCTTTTACTAACGGAAACTGAATTGAACACAACCATTCCTTTCGCTCTATAGTAGAGCTGGCTCTCATAAATCTTCGTGTTGCAGTTAGGATTTCAAAATTTGTACACGTATCTAGCGTAGCATGCAATAAGAATTGTGTATTACTGTTTTTCGACGAGGCTCTACACAATATATGCAAGAACTGTAAAGTATACTGACGTTGCAATATAATAGGATTCCATTTTAACAATGTTTGCGCAAATGCAGTGTTAGTAGGCCTCCACCATTCAGCTGGTAGAGAATTCATTCGTGTAAACAAACTAGACATTGTGTGTCCCTAATTGAGCGTTTATTCAAACGACGCACACTTCTAGGCATGTCAAAACTGAGTGCTTTGTAGTTCTTGCTGTAGTAGAGTGCATCGGACTGCATTTGAAGAAGGAGCGAAAGGTGCCACGCCAGTAGGTAACCTGAATGCTAGCGTTGTCTCCGGGTGAACGACTGTCACCACTTTTTGCTGTTTAATGTGGCCTTGATCTGTCGGCCGTTGTAGGGCAGTATGTAGCTCGAATGCGAAGCCTACTATGGACGAAAGTAGGCCGCTCCCAGCCGACGAGAATCATGAGAAATCCAACAGTCTACATATATCGATGGTAATATCAATTCCTTGTACAGGTCGTAGTATTTCTACTGCCGATGCGCGATTCACTAGGAGCGGCCCTGACAATTACCTTTGTGGCAATAGTCATCATAACAATTAAATCTGTCCTGTGTATTATTAAGCTTAAACGTAATCGAATTATTGAGAACATCGGTTACTTTTTGTGCTAAGAAAAGTATTAATTAAATATTGTCATTTATTTAAATAATTATGTACTCGTGTCACGCCAGACGATATTGTTATTTGAGGTAACAGAGCGTAACGGAGACGCCGAAAATATATTTTATTGTGCTCTAAGAATTACGTAAACAGTGAACATTTGAATCATTCTCCTGGTATTATCGCGTAAGCAAAGTTCTATTGTGCTTCTGTTAGTCATTTTCGGGGCTTGCGAAAATATAAACAATGTTTCAGTAACAGAACTGTCGAAATGATACAACTTAACTGACTTACAATGGGTCTTGTTTACTGAAAATAAGTAAGTCTAAGTATATTAAAATGGTCACTCGACTCGATAATGTTGTGGCATGGCAACCGAGCCTGACAACCGACCTTGCTCGGCAGTGTCGCTTGTGGCCCACGAGGCAGGAGCAACTACAAATGTAATTATCCAAATAATAGTGAATTACTTACATTTAGCTACGACTAGCGTGATTACAATGAGTAGAACAGCTAGCGAGCGGCAGGCGTGCGCCGCCATCCATGCGGCCCGGCATTCACGACCGCCTGTCGACAAAATTAAAGCATTTTTAAACAAAAACAGCAAATCCTTTTATCTAAATAAAAATAAATTTATTACTTCATGTGTATAAAGATTTAAAGTTATGTAGGTTTATAAATCATTCCCACATATTAGGTAGACTTGAGAATCTTATTAAAAAGACTTTAAATAGAGAAACTGACTATAAGCCATAAGACTAACCAAGTTTAACCTTCAATCAATCTTACGACATGTACCTAATCTTATACTCTTATAGAGGTATAAAGCGAAAGAGTTTGTTTTTTTGTTTGTTTGTGTGAACGCACTAATCTCCGTAACCAAGTTTGATTTGAATATTTTTTTTTTATAATTTTTGTGTCCGATAGTGCATTTATCGAGGATGGCTATAGGCTATAAAACATCACGCTACGACCAATAGGACCTGAGCAGAGCGTGTGAAACCGCGCGGAAGTGGCTAGTGTTTATTATATATAATGTGCAAAGATTTGATCACAATCACAAGCATACGCATCAGTGGAACCATTAACCCTTTAACCGCCGACAACGTAATATTACGGTTTTCGAAAGCTGTGTCCGAATCGCCACATACGTACAATCACGTTATTTTATTAAAAATCTTCTTATAGTGCACAAACTCCATATAAAATGTGTCAATTTCAAGATGTAGGGTATAATCTTTATTGTTATGGATATTTCTCAATGTTTTGAGTGATAAATACTGTGAAATTTGAGGTTTAATTAAATTGTGGTCACCGTCTCCATTATCTGTATCGCCAATCACGTAATTTTACGAGTACTAGGGATGGGGCGAATTCGAAAAATACTTAATAGGTTGTCTAAGAACAAACAAGGCACTATAGATATTACTGTCACTATTTGCAATGAAAGTGTATACTTTCATTAGAAAATAACCATAGTGTTACTTTGATGCAAGTATTTGTACTAATTAAAATGTATTTAAGTTTAAAATTATTTAATATTTATAACAATAATATAAAAATTTCATAACGCAGAACCGCACTAGTGCGGACAATCGCCGGTCGCCATCATCGTAATATTACGTGCGGCCAAGGAGATTATAGCGCTGTATTGTGAGTTGCCTTAGCGCCGTCACCGTAAAATCACGTTAAACATTTATCACTCAATGCAACTAGTGTTGTAAGCCCTTTTTTGGGTTTTTGTTATTTCTCAAATAAATCAACACAGTCAAAACCAAATGTGTCCATTATGCAAAGTTAGAAGATGGTGACGCAAAAGTTTTTGATCAGAGACCAAGTGATCCACGAAATGAATACTTTGCATCTTTAAAACCTTTTGAGCTGGAAACCGTACTGTCGGAAATCCGCTCAGAAGTTTACATGAAATTATTAAATTTAATACGACATGCTCGTGGAGCATCGTCACCGTCGCCAGCAGGAGAACGGACGACGCCGTGCCCATTTCCCGAATACACATTTTCGTATACTTCGTTTGAAGATTGAAAATTTTTAGATTATTTATTAAGAAGGTAAATAAAACATTGATTTTAATTAATAAAGAATATATGCATCGATATTAAGTGTTCCCAACACTGTTCCAACTTATACCTAAAGTGACGTGGCGCTGGAGGTAAGTTGAAAGTTCAGAATCTTGGCGGTTAAAGGGTTAAGGTGCTAACAGCCGCACCACAATGGTTAGTGACAAAACAATGCGTCAAAGATCTCTCGACTGCTAATTATATCATTAACGACAGTTTCCTAGTTCGTGCAAAGTTCCCATACTTTGTTCTCTACGCACAAAACGAAGAACGAACGAACGTAGATACTTAATCGTTATGGAACAATGTTTTGTTTGTGATTTGGACGGCAACGTGAATGGAATGTTGATTATCGTAAAACTAAAGTTTATTATAAATTAAAATGCATTTAGAAGTGAATGTAACGTAAAGAACCAGGATCAAATTGGAATCCTGAAGAACCGGTTTGATTACGGTTTGATTCCAGTTTTTTAAACATTTGTGTTCCTAAGCCTTACCTTTTTCAATTCGTAAAAGATAATCATTTAGAGGTCATCGATCGAGGTTAGATGTTGATGTTAGATAGATTAAATGGAGTCCAACTCTCAGAAAAGATAAAGATAGAGGTCCTTTACCTCTTTTATTCTTTAAGGTCTAGGTTCATAGACCCAATCTAAACATTTAGTAAAGAGTTAAACCAAGAGAAATAAATAAAGCAATTCCTAATCGTATAAGGTTTTCTTGTTAATAGAAAGTCCCATGGACCATATAAGAAGTCGTCTCTCAATTGTCGCCTAGAAGCGCTCAGTGATTAAGACCGACTTTACCCGAAGGAACCGGTACATGTGTTCATGCGACGTAAGTATGTAGGAGGTTTAAGAGAAAAAAAGGAGTTGATGACCTCGACTAGTATTCTAATACCCAGTAACTTAAGGTGACGAGTAAGTAAGGAGACAAGTAATAATCAACACGTACTAGTGTTGAATGTAGTGATTGGTATGTATTGTAGTATTAGTATCGGTAGCCGCGTGGTCACGGGGCCCAATAGGGCTGATGCCGATACGGAGCCGCAGAGAACGTAAACGGTTACCGGGACTCCGGCTTAAGTGCAGAAGTAGAAACGGGGTGGTTTTTAGTCAATAGAGTCTGACACTCCCGCCAGCCTCAACCAGGCGAGAGAAGACTTTCGATAATTTTCCCCCCTTATAAAAAAGCCACGTGTTCGTTTAGTCTCATCCATTTAGAGTGTTAAAATGGTTAATTAACTCCGTTTCTTCTCGGTATTTACATTCTAAGATAAGACCTAGTAATGTTTTACGGTGCCATGTTAAACTTTCTTTCCCATTAAGGTAACGTGGTCGTGTATATGAACATCGAATTCGTTGACCCATGGGTTATTGGTACAAAACATGTCGGTCGAAGCTATTGACCTGAAACTGTGGTTCAGCAATCACGTCCTAATTTCACAGTCGGCTGCCCGCTCAAATCCACAGCAAACTGGAATTATAACGAGTAACTGGATTGTAATTTGAGCAAATGGATTCAATTGCTGTCTTCGTCCCATTGCCATACTTTGAGATTTTTGATACCCTGAACGGTGATATCTGAGCTAAAGTATCGAGTTACCTATTGGCCTGCTCTAAAGTTAAAAACATATTTTTTAATTGAACGGAGCAATATCTAATTACTCTGATATTAATAATATTAATTAATATTTTTTATTATTAGCAGGTAGATCTTGTAACTCGTGATAGTAAATAAAATAATTACAATTGTAATGAACTTAGTTAACCTTCTCCGCGTACACAGGTTTTTTTAGAAATATGTAAATAATAGTTACATGTCTAAGAATATTTGTTAGTTAGAGTTGAATAATCTTATTTAATAGAATGGACGATAGCTCTACTTTATGTTTACTTTTTAATAATACGTCAACATTCTACATGCAATACCAAATTACAAGCACGCATTGAAGCAGTCCAATAACACATCATTGTCCAGCTTGTTATAAAAAGCCTCATGTTTAAACAGTCACTAGTCATGCAATATTACACTAATATATAGCCTTGATGATATTTTATTATATTTTATTCATATTTCTCTGTGAGAAACTGATTTCGCTAGTTACATCTTTCCTTTTTACATTTTAATTTATAATTTAATTTTCATCAATCAATAAAACGACCACGAGTTAAAAATAGTGGTCCTAGATTAGTGTGATCTAAGCCTAACATTTCTAAAAAGATTCAACTCTATCCTGCATACTGACTGACTTTCTTACCCTATAAATGGCATTCTGTTTTCCAAGGCTAGGTATAAATATTTTCGGACAGTACTTAAGTACATAGAGTTATTGGTATTAACAAGTATTATGCAGGTTCACACTTTGCTTGACAGCCAGCTGCAGAGGCAAATCTGTTGTTAATTTGTTATGCTATAAAAAATCGATTTACCTAAGTAATTCTTAAAAGCATTATCTTTAAAAAACACTTTTAACAATTTAACCATAGATACAAAATATCTTCATGGTTTGAACGCACGGTGCACATTTTATTGCTTTCTGTTCGCGTATCTTTTGATCGCGCATTTCATTAAAACTAGTTGACTGTGGTTTTAATGAGAGAGCGGCTTTTGCACGACGCCGACACCTATTGTTTTATGACTTGTAATTACTCATTGTGAGTATTATTTTAGCTCTACTCTGTTCTGTGAATTTGAGATCAATATATTTGATATTTGAACTGTATATAACTAAGGCTATCTAAGGTAATTAGAGTACCTACGCTACACGCATAGATTTTTTTTAAGGGGGGAAAATCATCGGATGATTGCTCCCGCCTGGGTGAGGAGGGAGGGAGTGTCAGACTCTTACTGACTAAAAACTATCCCGTTCCTTCTCCTGCACGTCGAGTCGAAGCCCCGGTAACCCGTTAGGTTCTCCGCGACAACACGCATGGATAAGTTACCAAAAGAAAAAAAAAATGTAGTGCAATTTCGTTTTACTCAAAAGCGTTCACTGACAATCTGAAAGTGCTTTCTGATGTAGCTCGTGACTTCGACGTAAGTAAACTATTCCTCGGTTTTTACTACGAGAAATGTTTAAATAGACACCTGTATTTGGTTTCATTGCCTCATGTTTGTGTACAAAAAAAAATTAGATGAAAATGCAAGAATTTTAAGTTTTTTTTTTAAAACGTTGCCCCACACTAGGATTTTCTCCTGTGTCGTGGGTGCGTTTACAAACATACAAGTTCACGTACACAATGACACCCAGACCCGAAACAACAATTTGTGGATCACACAAAGTGTTGTCTCGTGCGGGAATCGAACCCGCGACACGTTGCACGGCAGCCAGTTGCCCAGCCACCGCACCAACCGTGCAGTCAGTTAAAATATTTAGCCATTCATGATGACATTTATTTATCTACATGGTGATTACGAATCTACCGACACTCTCCGGTATTTTGTCATAATTATAAAAACAGGATTAATTTGCTATACTCTAAATCA